TGTTTGACTATTATCTGACCAAGTTTCATTGGCGATGGAGAATGCTTGAAATCTCGAACCTATTTTGTGAAATGCGCTATGCACTGGTGGTTTCGAGTAGAAAAACAGTAGAAATAAGGAAACAAATAGAAGATTACTTATAATTATTGCTACACTTATTTTTTCTTGCAGTTTTCAATTTGGAACTTGCATGTCATTATAGGGATGTTGATATCTATTACGCCCTGGATTTTTTTAAAACAGTTTATCAAAATTTTTTATGACCTCGGAAACAATTGCTTGCGTATTTTCATCTTAACTTGACAGCGAAAGTAGTATTAATTATGAAAATGGAGTATATCTTTACAGAATTATTCTTCCGAAAGATTACAGAAACGACCAACTATTGTTATATTTTACTCTGTGAAATTGATCGATTTTTTAAAATATATGATTACATCTACACAAGTCAGTTTGATTTCTTTTTTCATTTACATTATTAGTTTAAAAAAGCTGGAGCATTCAAACTGAACGTATGGTGAATATCAACTAATTCTCATCATCAATTAGTACATTTGAGAGATGCAGTGATAGAAGACCACTTTATGCTATCAATAATCCGCTAAATTAATTGATTCTGATGTGCAACTGCACCATGTTTCAATGTCATTAACAAATGAAATTTACCACGTAAGGAGTGATCTTATGCTAAGAAATTTTGGAATATAAAATTTAAAGTTCAAAAAAAAGAGCAAGTAGATCGGAAGCAATCTTTTTACTCCTATTCTTTTTTCTTATACTTCTCACTTCGTACCACTCATCCGATTTCATTGATTTTGAAATTTTGGAAATCTCATATCCTTTCCATTTGATGCTTATTTCACATAAAATTTCCAGCGGTTCATTCATTTGAACTGATTATATGGCAGTAACAGTAAAGTATATAACTTCTTGTATCAAATGGAAATGGAAAGAGTAGAAAGGATATTAGACACCTATGAGAGATAAATTATTAATTTTGAAATGCTTCTTTTGAATTTTATTCATCAAACTTTTTAAAATCTGTCAGATTTGACTAAGAATCGTTGTATACTTCATATCTGAGATTTATTATAGCCTATTAAAACGTTAGTGAGTTATAGAGCTATTCCAAGTGACAATAAGTTCCAAATGTGAAACCTCAAATGAATGATAGGTTTAGATTATTAAGATGTAAGCGTTTTTTGGTTGCATTTCACATTTATGTTTGTTTTACAGCACTACAATTTTAAATTTTCATACTTAAAAACATTCTGACCTCTATAAATGGGGAATGATGTTTGCTAACAGGTAAAAGACCTTCAATTAAATAGTAAATATATAATTTTAATGAAATAGTAAATAACATTTTATTGTGAAATAATGTATGATTACTTTGTTTTTTTCTGTTTTTTCCATTGCTTTTGTAGCTATTTATTTGCTTCGACTGTTGACAAAGTTTATGGCCAGAAAAATCTTCCAGCGAAATTCTTGACTTGTCAAGTAAAAATCCAGACGATAAAATTTTGGACGGTTAAGATTCTGAAGCAATCAACTTGAATCGATTTTTCGTTATCATATAATTTTTTTTTTTGATTGCTCTAAAAATTTTTCCAAATTCATTTTACCATGTAACTAAAACAAATGTATGATTAGAACAGGCATAAAAATGTACCTTTCATTCTCGTCCTCTTTATTTATGGGTTATTTGTACCATTATTTGGATATATTAATTCCATTTTATTTGTTCAGTCTGTAAGAATGCTTCCATTAGGTAGTGCTTTGTGAATTCAAATTTCCAATTGAGATGAAAAACGAGAAGTTTGTTAGATTTTAAGAGGAAAATTTGAGCATATTTATTTGAACTCGTCAAATGAGATCTTTTGTGTATTTTTTCCGCCAGTTTGTCCTATCAGCATTTGAAATTAGTTCAGCCTTTGCTAGGACAACAATGAATATATTCAAAGAATATTCTGAACTAGTGATCTCAATGCAGTGAATGTATACCTTTTGCAAAATAACTTTCAATTTTTAAGTTTCAGAACTTCAAGGAAAGTTTCTTCTATTTCGAGGATTTCTTCTAATCATCCGTTCGAAGATTTTATGACTTCAGCCCTGAGTTTTTGATCATTGTTCTTCGTAGTTTTTTTTTTCGTAACGATACCTGGGAAAAATGAATCACTCTGAGTGATTTTGACTTCTTAATGAGAAGTGTCCCTTTTATGTCATTGATATAAACTATCTAAATTCGTAATAATACTTTGACATTTTAAAACCATAAAATAAATCACGATATAAATATTTATTGAAAATGAAAGTAAAGAATACATTCCCTAATCATTTTCGATTATAAAGGTATATGTATTTTTTTGTCTAAAATGATAATGAAACGGAATGTATTGGCTCAGTTAACAAAATGCATTAAGCATTTGTTTAAAAACAATTTTTTTTCCTCCTTTTGCTTTGAATGGAATGTTACTTATTTGTTTAGATTATTATTTATACTTTTCAACTATTCGCTGCTGATAAAATGTTTTTTGTGCTTTCTTTCCTATAACTTTGCTGTATTCTGAAATAAAATAATTTACATCAAATTATTTACTTATGAAGGAATATTGGGATTTGCTCAGCTTGCGTAAGCTATGCTTAGCAATTTTGCATAAGTTGAATATAAATTTATCAAAGTTGTAGTAATCAAATCTTTGAAAATTTTCAATTTCAAACTTAGTTGCAACTAATTAAAATCTTCGAGGTAATTCAAGATTCAAAATTTCAGTCATTTAATAATGAATCATTGTCATAATTCCACAACAACGAATTACATTATTAAATGATTGAAAATTTGAATCATCATTTGAAATTAACATTAAAATGTTTGGTCGTTCATTGCTTATCCATCTTGCATTCATCATGTATCTTGTATGCGTATCATATCTCTGTGATTTTAGCAACGAACCATAATGCATGCTGTTTCATCCATCGGTTAAACCAATATTTATCTGCTCTTCGAACTGTTCAAAATTTTAACTGGATCTTAAAAACAGCTATACCGCATCGCAATGAAAGATTTGTATTTATGGGCTTTCTAAAATAATTAGAAAGTTTCCTGAAATTTTCATATATTCAGGAATGCACTCACAAAAGAATTTGTTAAAATAAACATTATTCCCTCATATATTCTTCGACAATACAAATACAAATTTAAAAGGTTAACCCGTCATTTAAATTACTTTCTGAATCTTTTCCTGTCATTTTCTTCTATCAAAATTTATGTTTTGCACAAGAAAAAAATGTTGAATGCTTAAAATTTTTAATTCAAAAAAATTGTTATGCTTTTGCTTTTTTTACATATTCTTGTCCTACCTTGCAAATTTTTTGATATTTTTACCTTTTTCTTCCACTCTTTTCCGTTAGATAATCCTAATATCTGTGTTCCAGATGTTCTGGAACTGCAATAAATCCCAATTATGCCTGGTTTTAGCCAATTTATCGAGTGTAAAACGTCTACTTCAGTTATTACCATATTCAAAAACAGCACATTTCTGCACCTTGCTATCCCTTCTACTGACATTGCAATTTGCAAAAGGCATTTCGGCGTCTTTTTTCTTGTCGTCGTATCTGATACTCTATATCGAATTAACACACGGTTTTGTAGTGTGCATAAAGAAATCTACACAGTACGAGGATTGTTGAAATCTCCCCATAAAGCTAAATCAGCTAAAATTTTCCATTTAAAGATTTGATAGATCTCATCTAATCAAACTATTAATGATTCAAATACCTTCTAGTATTCTGTTTTTACGACTATAGGAGAAACTTCATCAGTTTGTGAGTGTCAGTCATTCTCTAACGAACTACCAATGGATTTAATGGGAGAGTTTAAACTTCGTCTCTCACTACTAACGTTTAGTTGGGTCCCTTGTAAATATTCTCTCTTCACTATGGTAACAGCCAATTCCCTAAAACTCGTACATTTATCGTCTGAGAAAACAGCGATTTCCCTATCATCGCATTCTTTTCCGCCTCCCACTTCGAATAGCTTTTCCACTCCGTCGTCCATCCACACCAAAAGACAGAAAGAGAACGTTAGCGCTGCACTCACAATCTGTTTTATTTACCAACACTATCAGCTCTACCATCATTTTCCTAACTTATTTGCAGGAAGTATTTTGCTTAAAAGTATGTGTACACAAAACCAATGGAATTTAACTTTTATGGATATATACAGACATCACAGACGAATTCACCGTAAGGTTTCAACTACATAGATGACAATAGAGCGGGAGGAATGCAGAGCTTATTTCTAAATCTTTGGAAATGAAACTTTGATATAACCGTACTTCTCATGCAGATTGAAAAGTATTTCTAAAGCCGAAATTTAACGCTGGCAATTATTTTGTACTTGGAATCTGCTCGCCTTTTTTAAGAGATGAATAAATCGTCAGTGTTGCTTCTCAGCAAGATCTACGGAGAATGAAATTAATGTTATGATTAGTTTGGGAGAAGAATGAACAATAATAGGTTACTGCAAAACATACTTTAACATTCAAATTCGAAATCTAATAAACTGTATCCCATGAAGAGCGGATGAAAGGAAGACGGATAAGGTACGGGATGGAACAGATTGGGAACTAATAACTTATCGTTAACAATGAGAGAATCGTTGTATGTTTCATTTGGTAGGTTTAATGCATATGCTTGTGCGCTGTCTGTATATGCACGCATAGTGCACGCGTGCCTTTCTTAGTGAACTTCCTCTGCTTTCATTGGGCGCAATGAGTGATGAAGGAATGCAGCAGCAAAGTAGAATGCACGATGAAGACAAACGCACGCAATGTGTCCTGCATCGGTAGCCATTTGTAAAGCAAAATTAACGTGTAAAGTTCCATTCCACTCCATACAATAGCGCCAATCTATCCATGTATCGCTCGCTACTATCCGTCTGTTTTCTTGGTCTTCTGTCTACTGTTTGTTGGCTGCTCGCCAACATCAGTCACGTGCAGATGGCATGCGAGGAAGTAAATGATGTGAATAGAGCAGGCGGGGAGCCAAGGAACCCAGGCCTATTGCTGAGACATCTCCGCACAGACACATCTGGAGGAAAACAGACAGATAGTCGGGAAAACACGGATATTGAGTATGTGTCTGTGAGCGTTATAGAACGGGTATCAATCACTGCAGCGGTTTGTGCGCGTCTGAACTGAATATGCTGCAGTGTGGTGCTTTACCGCCCGCCTCCCACGATATGGTGGTATGAGAGGGCTTCCATCTTATCACCGTGTGTGCAGTCGTTCATTGACCCCGTTGGCGAGCACCCATTCGACACCGTTCCTTCTTTTCAATCCTTTTTTGTTAACAAAGTGGCACTACCGATTGTCTGTCTCTCTTGCTCGAAAACAAACTGATGTGTAGTGCTCAATCTAATTTCAATCATGATTACGGCAACCGCGATATCACCCTCTGCATTATCATATCTTAACAGGCACTCATCTTTCCAAACATTCGATCGGCTGCAAGGGTTACGTTAAGGTTTATTTCACGGTGGAAATGACATCTATTACCGCTCTTCCGATTTAAGACCAGCTTCCCGAACAATCTCATCCTTGTCTTCTCACTTTCCTGTCATCCCGCTATCCTTCAACTGAGATCCATAAATATCTGCAGTCATCTTTTTTATAGCAATGCAATCAAATTGATCTACTGACCATTTGCTCTTTTGTGATCACATTATTTGTCCAATTATTTTCTTTACCTATTCTTCACCCGCTAATGTTGTTCCATTGTGCATTCATCAATCTTATATTGCTAATTGCAATTGTGATCCTTTTTGATAACGATGCTTATTTTTCCAATATTACCAGTAACTGTCGTTTTAACATCCTGAAACTTTATTCTCTCAGTCTGTTTCTCCGTCAATAGAATTCATTTTTACATCCATGTAATGTAAAAATGAATTCTGTATGTATAAAAAAATAAGAAATGACAGATATGTTGAGCAGGGCAGGGAAATTTTGCGCATTGTTCCATTGCTTCATGACTTCACCTTCTACATATTTTTCCCTTTTATTTCCAAATTTATTTATAAAGTGAATACATTAAACAGCTATCGTTTTAACTGCTGTAAATCATAAGAACATTGACGGACGAGAAGTTCATTTAACTCAAAAAATTATAACTTATTGCAAAGCCTCCTTATCGTTCAGATTTTAAATAAATGAATTCCAGCCAGCACAATTTAGTGCAACGGAAGTATTTCGCAAAGTTCTTTGAGACGATACCTAAGCCTAATATCAATTCCGAAACAGTGACGTCAGTTTATTCCGCTTCTCTTCTTCCAGCTTCTCGTTTCTCTTCCAAACATGACTTAATCGGCCGCCTTCGTGAATTGTTGTCTTGTCGCTATTGCTATATTAGATGCCAAATAATATTTGCGCTCCATCGTCCGGTAGCTCCCATCCTCCCACCATTATTTGCCGTCACTTTTGGTAGGGAGAAACTTCAATGCGTGTCTTACACATGTATTTTCAGTTCTTTTTTATTACTATAATTCGCAACCCTCTGAATAATCTTTATGAAAGATTTACACATATTTCAGTTAGTTGCACATTAAAACATGAAATTTTGTTTTGCTTTCAAAATTACTTTTATATATATATATAAATGAAAATAGGAATTGTATATCGAGAATTCACAAATCCCTAATGTGAAACCAATGAGGTTTAACTAAGTGACGCTTCTATATACATATAAGGGCGACGTTATCTATTTTACAATTTCAGAAAAAAATAAAGCTTCGCACTGGGATGAGGCAATCCTTCCCGTTACACAAATAAAAAATTTTGTTCCTGAGGCGGATTTTTTCTTTGAATGACATTATTTTGCTGTAAAATTTATGAAAATCTGAAAATCCTTACATTGATTGCTTGCAATGTGCAGAAACTTTTTTATCAATTGGCGGGTCATTTTAATCTTCCCAATTATTTGATTTTGCTTGTGAGACGTAGTTTTGTAACAGATCCATTGTGCACTTATTAGTTTTAAAATTGTAGCAAGTATTTTGTATTTTGTGTTGCATATAAAATTTGCTGAAGCATGGAAAATATATCTGATTAAATTTTCATGATATCTTTTTGTTTAGTGCTCATAAGAATCAACTTTGGATTTTTTTCCGTAATTTGTTAACTTTTTCTCCCGGGAGTTCATAGTACACTTTTGCATCTCTTTTTCTTCAAAATCTCTGGAAATGTTTTCCTATATAAATAGGGTGAATCATAACCTGTTGGCTAGTATTATAATCTTCTCTACGACGATGTATCAAAAGGATTACAAAATCGTTGATATTCCATGCTGATTGAGTGGTGTTATTCTTTCTGATGTTCTTACCATTTTCTAACTTTCGATTACTGCTGAATTGAAGTCAATGAAAAATTAGTCTCGAAAAACATCAAGCATTTTTCCTGTCATGAAACTTATTTTTAGATTTGTATGGAGTAAATGATGTGAAAGGAAAAAAAGGAGTTTCGTCTTGGATTAATAAATGCAACAGAGACGTGCATAATTTCCAGTTGCTATTTTAAAATATTTTCCTTTTCCTAATTAAAATTCGCATCACTGAAAAGCGGGAATTGAAAAAATTTTCCCTCAAAATATTGAATAAATACAAACGAAAAATCAAAAAATACATTTATTATTGGAAGTAGCACGAAATGTGATTGTTACTAACCATATTATTTGGGCCTTCCAGTGCTGATGTTGACTTCGTTGTTGCGTTCATGTCGACATGGTGATAATCTTTTATTATGCCAATAGAATTTAACATTTAGTTGAGGATGAAATTTTATTCTTACTTCACATCCTTTCCGTTTTCTATAATAAGAAATGTTTGATCAATTTCGGTCCTACAATTTAATCTCGCTTTTTGGACAAGAAAGTTAAAGATATTAAAAAGTGTTTCTCCCAGTTGATGGAACCGGCGAAATTTGTTTGATTGTGCGTTTTCTTATTGGGATTAATGAGCTTTTGTTTGAGAAGAATTATACGTTTCAATTTTTTTTATTGAAATAATTTTGTGTTTTAGCTACATACTTACAACGTACTAGTTCACTTTTGAATCAGTCTTAGGATTATGAATTTGTTTGAACATTGTTACTGTGAGTTTTACAGTAAAAATACTTTTAAGGTTCGTCATAAGTGTTCTTTGGTCCTTTGTTTTCGAAAAATTTAGCATTGTGAATTGAATAAAGAAAGCTGTTTTAGCAGTTCACAGTTAAATTTCAAAAATTGCATGCGTGAACATCCTAGCTTAGGACGCTTTTCCTGCAGCATAGGTAGAGATTCGAAGGGACGTCAAAAAATGAAAAGCGGAATAGTTATTGTGAACGGAGTAGTATATCTCTAAATTGAAAAAAAACTTCGTGCGAATTCCTGATTCATATTTTTGGTTGGAATTTTGGTAGGAATCTTTTTTTGTTCCAGAATTTAATAAGGTAGAATTAGTTGCTTGGAAGAAAAGTCGATCTTATAAATCGTTATTGATGTGAGAATAAAACTAGTAATGTTGAAAAGTGTCTTCCCAATTTGGTCAAAAAAACGACCGCTTGAACATGTTGGTAGTGATGGTAATAATTTTCTGAAGACAACAAGTGGAGAAGACGAAGTGATCAATCAATTTTGGTTAGTCAATTGTTCCTTAAAGAATTAATTTTTTATATGCAATAAATCAAATTTAAGCAAACTTAGGGCTTAAACTGAAGGACAAAAACGTGATGCGGCTAATATCTAGCATGGAGATGATACTGCAGCTAAGATTAAACGATGAGGATAACGTATCATGCTTTTTCTACCTTTCCTATTTCTCCTCATGTGAAATACATGACTGAATGATCGACCTTATTTTAATTATTCGTTTTGACGTGGAGATAATAAAGTGGTACCGAAAATCATGCTATTAATTGCAGTTTTTCTCACGACAAGAAGCTTGGTAAAGAATCATTACGATTGGTTATTTTGGCTGAAAGTGAACGACGATTATTATTCGATAGTGAAACTGTTTTACCTGTGAATACGCCTGACATTCCAGCTAAGACACCGCTTTCAAACTGTGGTCGGTTTAGGGTAAATTACGGATTTCTTTCAGAAAAATATGTTTTCATGTGAGCTTAGAAATATGACCACCATATATCAACTTTTTCAGTGTATTTCGATACTGTTATCAGAATTTATTTAAGAAAAAGTTTTTCAGTTTCTAAGACATCGTCCAGATGTTTCCTGTATTGGACAAATGATATTTGGTTCGCTATCCACGACAAAAAATGAATCCTTTAAAATACATTCTTTAAGGTATATTGTTTCACGTTTTCCAGTTTTCGTAACATATCCTCAGCCTAAACAAGTGACTGTTGTTACAGTTGGTAGAATTATTAGTCTTGCCAATAACTGACGAACTTTAAATGACCAACTGTTAAAATTATGCTTGTATTTGGTAGACATATTTATGTTGAAACAGAAAGATATATCACTTGGGATAGCCGTAGTGGTCTAGGTAAGGTGTTGCAAAAAATTTTCAATTTTCAAGATAATGAGCAAGTATATACATTCATATATTTCTCGGTATTTCCAGTACTGCTCATGATTCATTTTGCCAGTGATTGTTTGCGATAAAACAGTGTAATTCCTTTCTGAAAAGTACTGAGCTTTTGAGAACTAGTTTGACATTGATTTTATTGTTGCGCATCAAGTTTTTATCCCATCTAAGATTGTGGAAACGATAGTAAAATAGAATTTTTTAAAACTTTTTTTTTAGTGATAGTAAACAGATTATGGTAAGTCGCGTTATTTTGGTCCCAAAAGTAACAAGACCGTCAAACAGGTATCATTTTTCTCCAATTTTGTTTACATGTGTAGTTTTCAAATTGCGTGATTCTCATCTGCTCGTCGCTGTCATTTTATTTTCTTTTCAGTTTTAGAGTGAATGAGTAATTTGGTTTTTTTATTCTAAACTTTTGTCGAATATATTGATTTTCATGATATTCATTGGTCAATGATTTATCTGGAATAATTACTTCAGCGACATCAAATTACCCGTTAGTAGTACTAGTAGTGCTGATTCGGAAAGTCCCTATTCAACAGTTTGTTCATTGGAGGGATTGCGCAGACGAGCATATTGCAGCTCACAGACTGATCCTCCTGAAGGTTTCATTCAGCAATATTCATATTTCATAAAAATTCAAATGCAGAGAAAATACTATTGTATTAATCGTAATGTTTTGAAACAATGCCGTATAGTTGAGTCACATTAAAAAAAAGTGTATGGATGTACAAATGAGAAAGTTTTCAAATACATATATAATGACGGCTGACATGCCAATTGGCGATTAGATTACCTGAGATGGTACGATTGTGTCGTTGGCATATTGAACTTCTAGAATAATCTATGTTCTTGTCACTGTACAATCGTTAGACACGTTAGATAACTCATTTCAGTGATCGTTTGCCGTGTGTATTCTTAAAAAATTTATATCTTATAGTTAATTCATTTAAAAATGCTGTGAAATTTGTTTTCAAAACTGCAGTAGGATTGAAATAATTACAGGTTTTACCCGAGTGCAAAATGTTTCCCTGCAGATGGATACCGAAGAAGGAAATGTGAAATCTTGTAGGGCTTTTTCACCTAGTCGTCTTTCTCGACATCGTCGTATGCAGCTTGCGCAACGGAGCAATTTATGTGATGAAAGTAAAATATTTGCATTTTTTGAAGCTTCGTCAGTAGCGGATTTCACGTCGAGTGAGGTCTGTAAGATTTAGAAATCGGAAGGGCAGTTGAGGACATTTTGATTAGTGGAATAACAATCGTTCATAGGCAACACTTCCCGGCTAAATCATGAACTTAAACCGGTATTTCAATATTTTCATGCTTTGGTTTATAGTTTTTTAAACTTTCTTTTTTCAGTGGCATTTAAGATAGAAAAAAATTAGCGTATCTGAAGAGGAAGTCTCGTGATTTTGACTTTGGGTGTGGAAAACGATATATTGATATTTCTTGGACTTATAATAAATGATCGACTCAAACTAATGATTTTGATAAAATCCTTAATTTGAAACTAAAAAGTTTTCTATACTACTTGCATAAATAAAATATTAGTCGGGCATAAGTGTTAGTGGAGAAAAAAAAATTCTTATATATTAAAGATGTCCAGCATTATGTTTTGGAGTATCTCATATTCCAGTATCTTCAAGATAACGTGTCACTCACTGATGATACGTTTATCTGTACACTAAAAATTGCCTAAAAAATCCAGTTTGCATAATATAAAATATCTTCAGAAATACTTTCCTACTTTTCAAGTCTTCATTATCGTAGCTCTGATTAACATAAGCCCAAAATTCATTATTGAAACCAAAAATTTGTGGTGTCTTTTTTACCTGTTCATAACAAATATTCAATTTCCCAAAGCTACAGAAAGTCGTATTGACAGAATTTATCGATTCATAGATTATGTATGTTAAGTCTTATAGTATTTGACTCCCTATTTTAGATTTCAATATTCTGAGGTCGGATAATTTTACACTGTAATACTTTTTTAGTTTTTTCAAAAGTCTTTTTTATTTTTCCTTTGATTTTAATGAAAATGGAGTATTTCTTCTATTTCTCCTTATCAAGATTTGTCTTGATGAAGAATTGCCATGCAGATATGGAGAAAAAAAAGTAACACTAAATATATTCATCGTCTCCAGGATCATTACATTTGTTTTCCCATGAGAACGTCGAAAATGATAGCGTTCCTGGTAAAATATACTTAATCGTATTTGGTATTTAAAAAGTTCTGCACAAGCGAGAACTGAAAAATTCGTTCATTCTCATCAAGTTTGTGGTATTTATTTTTATAGGTGTTGGATCCAATTTAATTAAAAGTGAAGTAAAGATCCAGAACGAATGTATACTTTTTTGTGATTTTTTCTGTATAGTAAGATTTTTTCTGTATAGTTCTTTGATGAGAGGAGAGTAGTGAAACAGAGAAATATTACTTCAGTTTAGCAAAAATAAGGGAGAGATAAATTTAGAGTGCGAGAATGAAATGGAAAGTCCACTATATCGGAGATTTGCAAGGGCGGCTTTTTCAGTATCAAAAGTTGCTTTATTCGGCACAGACTTTATTAACTTTTCGAAAAGAAATGGTGTGAAAACTTTGTTTCATAAGTAATTGGGTTAAACGATAATTTAAATCCATCTTCCAGATAACTCAGGTCGTTGGTGTAGCCGAAGTCGTTTAAGTAGCTGTAGTTCAACAGCAGACGAAGAATCGAGACAGATTGCAATTGGAGTATTATTCCGGTAGGCTTTTCCTATTACTTTATTTTCCACACCATATGATGAAGAAAAAGTCTTGGTCGAATATCAGAAAAACTGACTTGTGCTCTTCAGATAAACTTTTGTGCTGGAAAAGCCACATTTTGATTTTAAAGTTGACATGTTTCCGTAATCCAACAATTGGAATCTTTTATAGCCTTTCGATTGAATTATTGCACATCACCCTGTGGTGAAAAATTCTTAATGCCACCACCATTCGATCATTTTTTGATGTTTGGTCTTAGTAAGCCAACTCATAGCAGTATAATAGTCTTGGCTATCTTGAAGCTTTGCATGATAGGTCCCACTGTTTAATCACTAGGTTGTCATTGCTATGGAATGAATAATTCAAGCAGAAAGTTTCATTGGTTTTATTTTCATTTGATGTTTTCCAGAGAAGAGCAGAAACAGTTTCTGCTGTGTCATATTCCTCTTATTGAAATTGAAATTATCAAATTGGAGGCTCAAATTCTGAAAGCAACAGTCTCTCGCACTCGTTTTTTGCATTTATTATTTGAGGTTGGTTTATTTCAAAGAGTTATTTTTCATACTTGGAAAGTTGTACTTTCGAGAGCTTTATTATGGTAAACTTTGCGGATATGATTTAAGAGTTAAGTTTATTCATATTTTGTATTATTTAAATATAAAATTAGTGATTTGCAAAAAAGCAGAGGCAGAAGCTACATATTTTTAATTATTTGCAGGCGTGGTTAGAGTTGGTGCATAATGTTTGTTTACTGTACAATTCATACCGATTTCGCTCTCCGGTCTGGTTGAGTCTGATGAATGAAAAAGAGTATGCTTCAACGGCTAATAATTTCTGTACCAATTTAGCTGCACTGATTTGTGAATATGATTTGAAATCTACACGATAGTGAGTCTTATTTTCTTGCTTGATTTTGCGAGCGAAAAACATATTTTCTGCTTTTCTTGCAGGATTTTATCTGTGTATTTTAATACTGAGAATCAAAAATGTTTCAGCTTTGTATCCACGTTATTGTCTTGTGTCTTGATGAATCATCTTGCATGGGTTGCGAGTGTTACGCCATCGGAAGATTGCGAAGATCTTCATCGCTCGCTTCTGATGGGGACGGTAAGAAGTTGAAATGCATTTTTCAAAATGTTACATTTTAATCGATCTCAGCTCGAGTACAAATTATGATGAGTTTGATTTGCATATTCCAAAAACTCACTTTTCTCTAGTTTTAAACTATACTAAATTTCAATTCTAGAGCGGAAGTTCAGATTGTATGCGCTATCCGTACAATGCTCAGTTAGCTCAGTACATGGAAATAAGCGGTAGTGTGGGTGGTGCTGCACGTTTAGCTCGAACAGTTATCATCGGAAATGATATGAAATTGATAACACATTTGCTCTACATTCTTACATATTTTGTGCGATGTTCAGCAATTCAGCCAAATGGAAATAAAGGTATTTTGAAATTTTCAGATTTTTGCGGGTTTCTTATGTTTAATAATGGCTGTCTACTGGATCTCCAATTCTTTGTTTAACTAGAGAAGTTAATACTGATATTGAATGTTAGATGAGGTGTCTTTATCTATCGCATCCATCAGGAGGTAACCTGATAGCACTGAGATAAATCTGCAAGTGAGATATATAGATCAGTATTTGAATTTTGGAATATCATCAAATTTCTTGTATTGCTACGGAATTTTAAAGAAGCATGCTATTTTATAGCTGACAAATGGGATTCACGACCAGAAATGAGATCTTTTTCACCGATCACTTGCAGCGGAGATGGTAATGTTGATTTTGGCAAAAAATACTCATTAAGAAAAAAAGGTATGCTGTTTAAAATTAAAGCTCTCTTTTCTGAAATTTGTCGGAAATCAGAAATTAAAGCTCTCTTTTCTGAAATTTGTCGGAAATCAGATTTCATTTTCTACTATTCGGGTATGTTATCAAATACTGCATATTCTTTGTACTTTAAATAAAAATGGAACAACGGAAAAAACATGTAAGAAAATGAAAAGCTTATGAGTACTACTGAAATGTAACTTTAAAGTTGACAATAAAGAGCCAGAATTTGTGGTTCTTCGGGAGGCAGCGGAACCGGGTGTTAATGCGAAACATTCTGAATTGTATTTTCCTTTAACGTGTGACACTGGTGATTCGACGGATACAAGTTTGGCTTGGTCTATGTTGGCTGGGCCTTGCGATTCTTATTGCTCACACTTTGTTATATGCGGGTTACGCTTGGCTGCCATTGATTTGAAAGAGGTTCGTATACATGGATTTCATTTAAATTTTGCTCATTTTGTTGCTTTGTTAAAGTCATATACCTTCAGTTACGAAGTACTTTTTTAGACTTATTGCTCAGTGATGTGCCATATAAAGAACGGGGAATCAGAATTGATCAGCACATCTTTTCCGGAATCATCCTTTTCATCAACTGCTGATTCTGCTCCATTTAGTCCAACTGTTGTGGTGCTTGCCGATGCGACAAATTATACCGTGAAGGTTTGTTCTTGTTGATCATTAATGATTCCACAAGAAGAAGACTAGTTAAACATTTTTTCCTTATCGAGTTCAGTTAAGAGCTGATGTTTTCTATATAATATTGGTAGATAAGTTTTGGAATTTCATTCAGCCCTTAATGGAACTGTGATCTAGATGATATCGGGAGATGATACAAGTGTCGGCGAAAGTCAAATGACGGCACCATGTGATGCAGTAGTGACGATGCTGGAGCAGTTTGGTGATTTGTATCGGCTTGGCGCAGCTCCAACATTTTTGTTATCTTTCATCGAAGACTGTCTAAGCGATATCCTGACACGATCACTTTCACTGGTGGAGTTGTTGAATGGTGCCACAGGGAATAGCAAGGGTAGAACACAGGTTACACCGGCTACTGTCACGGCAGAACGTGTTGTGAGCGTTATTGGCTGTGATTATTCAGATTTACGTCTTATTGTTAATGTTGCTGCTGTATACTATCCTTCCGTTTTACAAGCTATTATATAACAATATATTGTATAACTCTCCTCTTGTTTCTTTCCCATTTTAAGAATTATTTTTTCTTGTATGAGGCCTTTATTACCCAGTGAGAGCAATGACTTTTAGAATTGTGAAGAAAACTGAGGGAAGTCAACAGTCCACGGTTTAAGCACCTGCGTAATTTCCAAGTTAAATGAGCTATCCTTTCTTAACCTGCCATTGCCTTCCATTTTATCTTGCATTATTTAAATGATTTTGCTTGTACTCTTTCGGGAAATTTTTTTTATACCGCAATTTCTAACAGTGGAAACTTTGCTCATAATGACTGGTAATATTTGTATATTTTTATCTCTTTTTATGCTTGAAATTTTGTATGTCGTTTATTCGCATTTCTCAATCCGCTTATATTGTTTTTCCACCTTGTCTCTCTTTTTATCTCTCCATATTTATACTCCTATTTGTTTTTGACTCCTGTTTATTATAACTGTGTAACTTCCCCTAAATAAAAATCAAATTTGCTTTTTCCGTTTTCGGAATGTACACAATTAAAAATGAGTATCCTCGAATATCGAAAGAGTTCACTTCGTAACTCCATGCCGAAAGTCCTTAACGTTTTGATGAGAATAGATGACAGGAAAATACGTGTATCATTTACTGTCAACGCCGATCTAACTATGACGGTTGAGGTTATATGGTGTGACTGAGGTTATTTGGTTGTAGTACAAACTAAGTGTTCATATCCCCACCGCCCAGGATGGTCAGAGAGGAGATCTGTCTCTAAATTGTATAAATCTGCAACAAGGTTGAGGGGAGTATTGTCCCCACGCCGTCCAAACAGTATGTTGTCTCCTGCAACGACACGTCGACCGACACTTCATCAAGTTTAAAGTTCAGGAGAATCATTTGACAACGCCGATCTCGCCTTTCACCAATTTCATCGTCGTGCAGCACAATATGCGGCTGACCGATTTACTGATCAGGTACCTATACAAATCATACTCACTGTTTGTTCTTTTATCCCGCTCCTTTCTCACCTTCAGTCTACCAAATACTCTGAGACGAACTTAGTGATTGACTACGTAATCGCATTAGAGTCGATGACAAGTTCAGTTTCAAGGCCTCTGGGAGTCATATGAATTATGTTGTATTCGAGGGAGTTAAGGGAAAATTGCTTATGGGTCAATACAACTGATTAATCTGGTTGTTTGAATCTATACGAAATTTGAATAATTTGAACAAATTATTCAGATTTTGTATAGATTCAAATAAACAAAAGATTATAACATTTAATACGTAAGGCCATTGTCTTTATATGTAAAATTTCACCGTTCTTGTGAGGATTATAATTGTTATAGGAGTCATTGCTGAATAATAGAATTGTTATTTGCTGAAAACTGACGAACAGTTGGGAAAGTAATGAAACTGTATGTGAAGAGGATGAATGCAAAAGGTGGCATGTTCACACTCAATGTAACCTCTTCCTATTTTATTTCGCTTTGTTTTTTGAGACCTGAAAATTTTAATATTATAAAGGTAATAATGAATTTCCCATTTTTCGTTATTCTTATCTCACTTTGGCTGTTACATTTAGGTTGATAGTAGAGATACAGTGGCAAGTTTGAAGGAAAGAATTGGTGGAATTCTGGATCTGTTCCCAGATGCCCTGCGTTTGCTTCATCAAGGACATCTTCTTAGCAGTAAGTTCTCCGGAACGTCTCTTTTAGGAACATATGTCTTTATGATTGCATATTTCTGAAACATGAGCTGGAACTAAAGTAGCATTTTTTCGGTATCGGACGGTCTCTGGCTTATGCTTTCTGTATTTGCTCACCAAGCTAATTTCCGTATCAAATTCGTCAATTTAGAATTATTAACCCATTCCTCGTCTTTCTTTTCCTTGCTGCAGTTAGCTTCACCTTAAAAGTAGGACCAAAAATTCTCTCGCGACTTTAAATATCAAAGACGTGGGCTAAAAACTAAATATTCGATCATGAGAGTTTGAATTACAGATACTCAAGCAAGTCTCGAGTCGTACGGTATTGAAGATAGCAATCGAATCAATGTTGTTAATGTCCCGTCTAACGATATGAACTCGATAGTTTTAAAAGCTTTGAGCAGTTTTCTTTGTGACCAATGTCCTGCAAGTGCCCTGCCAGCGATTGCCGAGAAATACCATATCGTTAGTAATCTTTATAATATTCGCTGCACTGATAAACGCCGGTGGAACTGATATTGTTTGAAATTTAATAAATGAAAGGTCAAAATATTCAATCTCTTACTCTGTGAAGAAAATCTGAGATCCACAATGGATATCTTGCTTTTTATTTTCTGGAATCAAAGCCGAAAAGACTTTAGAATTGCAATATAATTAATTTCAAGAATTGTTCCCTCTTACCATAACAATTTTTTTAGAGTTTGGCAAAAAAAGTTAAAAGCTTCAGTTTGGAAGAATTGGAGCGTTATGCGAAATTCAGGAATCAATATATTTCTTGATGTAGAAGTCCCTGCTATGCGTGTTCAAACCTTCCAAAGGAAAAATATCTGTTTTTATGTCTCTCATACGATTCCATATGCTCGTGTTAATTCTGCATATCTATGTTCAATATAGCAGAATGATTTTCAAAAATAGAAAATATGTCACTCGTCCCCTGTTTCCTTATTCCAATTGTATATAAAAATTTAACTTATTTTAAAAAATACCCACTTTCGGCCCTTGTAGCAAATAAGAAAGTCAAGCCTATCAACAAGTATGTAAAATGTTATTAAGTTACAAGTCAGCTTTAATAGCTAGGTTAGAGGAGGCATAAAGTACAGCAGAGTCGGCCTGTAAAATGACACAGCACAACATAACAGGCTAGAAATTAGAACAAATTTTGATCAGAAATGAAATTTGCCAGACTGTAACATATTAAATGTAAAATATTCAAGACAAATTGATAACTGTTGCAACTGAGACAACTGAAGGATAAAAATCGCAGTTTTGAAAAATAAAAATTTCAATTTCAAAAGTACTTTTTATTGTCGAAAGTGTTCACTTCTCCTCATTAAAAAAATATACAGAGAGGCAAGTTACCAAAGCACAGTAAGTGCGATCTCCACTTAGCCTCCCGCTTACGTTTTTTTCTCAGTTGCCTATCACTAGCTGCTTACCGATCCATCACTTTTATGAACACCTACAAGCCAAAGGAAGAGAAACAAAATCAAATAAATCGAAAAGTTTATCAGATAGATGAAACACTCTCATTGTCGTCGAATTCCCTGAGATCCATTTCTGTTGCAGTCGCCTGCAGCTGATCTAGTCCGGAAATTAGTTCCAAATAACGCGGGCTGTTGAAAACCTTTAGCAAGAATTGAAAACCATCCGAGCGATATGCAGCCTGTACAGCAGCTCCACATGCGATACAACGTTCGAAACGCTTGACGGCTGGGGTCATCTACAAGCTATTTTCACTAAAGCTAGGAAATTTCGGATATAAACTAAAGATATAAACTAATAAAAACAATCCCAACAGTTTGCAATAAAATGTTTCACCTGTGTAAATCTTGAGACGAAAGATCTGATTTGATGTGGTGTTGCACCCAGAACAGTTGTTGACTCGTCATTTTCTCCAAGACGAGCAGGAGAGCCCCCCATCTTAGGATGCTGGACAACCGCGGCAAGTAATTCAACGGCCGAACCAGAAGCAGCTAGAGATATGCCTGCACGGCTGACCTGAAACGCGACTTATAGAAAAATTAGGGCAAATAATTCATCTAGATACTTTACTGAAAACACATATTAGAAAATTACATTTTCTGGTCAAATAAACTAAAGCTTATTCAGTAATTTATCAGTTAATTTTTACTCGTTGGAGAGGAATGAGTCAATAAGTACTATTTTCCTTCCATAGGAGGAAGTGATGTGACTAATAAAAACAAGGTGCTTACCGTGCATTGTTGATCCATGGTTCTATCAATAGAAGAATTACCAGGTGCCGTAACATCACTACAAAAATAACAACCTAACTGAGAACCAGGTACAATGTTGGGATCACTTTGTGATTGTTTTGAATCTTCACTAGCTTCATCATCAGAAACACCATGACGAATTACAACAAAACAATCAAATCCAAGCGCAACGCTAATTGCCAACTAAAACTATCAATCACAAATCGAATAACTTGAAAATTTCCGGAAACTTGAAAACAAATCTAGCACAGAATAACCAAAAAAAACAAATGAATAAAATACAAATGGAATCAGAAGGAACAAACTTTGCAATGAAAAGTTGCCATAAGTGTTGGCAACCATCTTGCTTCTCTACTATCAAGTAACAAAAATGTTACATCATGATCCTTCACCAGTTCTTCTAAATGTTTCACGGCTTCCTCAACCTCTTTCTCCTCTATAACGAAAGCATAAAAGGAAACTGCAGTGAAATAATTAATGATAATGTGAAATTAAATTCTTCACATATCCCGCAACCTCAAACAACAAACCTTGTTCTAAGACGTTATGGCCTGGCATCGGTATTTTCATGAACACGCCTTTAGCATTTATTAATGGATTTATTTTACGAAGGCCCTCCGCGGCCGTAGCAGCTTTTAACTTCTCTCCACTCGCAGCGTCATCGAAAGCAAACAACGATTGTCTGGAAAAAATTAAATATTCAACGCAGCTTTTCTATTCAAATGTTCCATTAAAGGCAGAGTTCCTTTGTAGTTACTTCAGATTAAAACTTTAGGTTAAAACAGACCTTACGACATTACTGTAGGATATATGAGCATTATCAACAAATGTGAAATTTTTAACACCCCAGCCAAGAAGTGAACGTGCCACATTACAACCCAGGGTACCAGCACCCAAGATTAAACATTTCAAATTTGCAAAGCGCTGAAGATTGATATTAGGCACCAAACGCCATCGGATCAGACGCAAATTCAGTTCAGCACTGAAGTCCATTAGTCTGAAATGATAAAACCGACCCAAAGTATCATTAATCAAATCACATCATTGTCAAGATTAAAAAAAAAACTCAACGGTAGGGATCGTAATTGTAACTTTCCTTCTTTAGTTATACATTCCACTCATTTCTAATTTAGAACTGTTTATTTAAATTTTTATAATTTCTAGCATTCAATCTTTATCGAAATATATGGGAACAAAAAACCCAGAGAAGTTGCGAAGAATAAATGCACCCAAACGTCAAAAAATAAATGAATGTGAATCGAGCATGAATATATTTACAAATGAATTATTTATTCAAATTTAATACAATTGCAATTATTTACAGTTAATTTTATCTGCTTTTATATTTCCTTAATCTTCTCGCTTTTATATTTCGTTTTCATAGAAGAAATACAACCAGAAAAAATTGGAAAACTTGTAATGGCCAAGAAAAACTATCTTATCCTAGTCAGTTCAAGATTAAGATATACATATAAACTATTAGATGGATTAAGTAGAATGGCTCGAATTTCTATTAGATTTCTCTTCAAATTTCGCTAATATGAGCAATGAAACCGTGACTTACTTTAGCGGATCTAAGCTTCCTCGTAGATCAATACATGCAGGAGAAAGTGAACCTCTTATTCTTTCCCATCCAACTGCGGCAGTGCTTAAAGTATCATTTGCTTCCCAACCGAGGTGAATAATGACACTAGGAACACCACCACTTCGATAACAGACGAACTTGGCATTTTGCAGATCCCTTCTGAAAGAAATGACCCCAGAACCACAGATGATGAAAAGTAACACTTTTTCGTGATACTGAATCAAAGTCTATAAGCTACGCCAAACGTACCGAACGTAAGCTATCGCCGCTAACAGATTCCTCAATGGCCATCCGGGAAAAGCCGTCAGGGTAGATGGATCTGCATAAACGACAAGAATGTCATTGTTCCATACAAAATTATTTGAAAGTATTGACGACAAAGGAGTCGGCGTGTTATCGACCAATAAAAACGGTTCATTGTGATGTAGCGCAATAAAAACTTGAATCAAAGATGCCAGTTCGGCCGAAAGTTGCATAGGGTCTGATAACAATCTTACTGATTGCGGATAAAGAAGTGCAGGAATGCAATTCCAATACCGAAAGGTATATTTTTTCAGATCCTGCAACGAAATTATAATGGTTACAATAACAAGCTGAACTACTAGTATGAATGTAATTCCAAACATTTTTAAAATTTTTCTAAAAGCGGTTGATAAAATACAAGAAAAAGATAGGAAGTAAAAAAACAAACCGGATACACTGTAAGATAAAATGTATTCAATAACGACGGTTTTTCAAGCCAATCCAACGATTCGATGCATTTTTTCACCTGTATATATAAAGCTACTAAGTATGAATTAATCATATTCGAAACTTTATACATAAAACGCTTTGGCTGCTTAGCGAAAGCATTACCGCTATATAAAGATAACTAAATCAAGAAAAAACCTAAAGAAAAGTTGAAACGAAGTTTGAGTTAAAAAAATTGAATTAGATGTAAAGTATGCTGCGAACTAAAACCATAAAAAAAGGCTGGCATCTAGTATTCCAAACTGGTAAATAAAGTAATTATTTTAAAAAAAAAGTTAAATAAAAAGCAAAATTTTGGGTAAAAAAGCTGACCTTTACAGCAACAGTACACAAGATTTGTTTCCTATCAAGATTTTTGAATGTTTCATGAGTATTTACAGCAAGAACTGATCCATTCACTGGAACTACGTTTTTGTTCCACTTTGATTTTACCAAAAACGCATCAAACGATATGGATAACCTTGTAGTTGATGTTCCTGGATCTTCTGTAACACTGATTATTAAATTTATTATCAACATAGAGTATGCGAATCTAAACAAATAACACTAATTCAATTTCAACAAATTAGCAATTGAGTACTGAAAAGTTATTTCTGTTAAAGAGTAGAGATAAAAATTTCACCGTCTGACAAAACTTTTCTTAACCTTCAGTACGACATTGTGTATCGAACATCGCGATATTAATGCTAATTCAAATAATCTGTATACCTAGAATTATTAAATGCACAAGAGTGTCACAGAAGCATAACTAACTATTATCTTAAAATTATGCTTCAAATTAGTACTTCATTATACAACAATTAATAAATCTTTCAAAACAGCACCAATCCCCAATGTCATCCATATTCAGTAAAATGTTTATGATTGGAGATAGCAAGACGTAACCCTTTAGACAACCGTACTAAAGAAGAAACTTCAAGTATTCTAAGATAAATAAGATGTAAGTCTGTGCTGTTATCTGAGAATGAACAATATTCTATATAAAACTGGATCAGTAATCTTTTTCATGGTGGAGGTAAAAGAAGCCGAGCTCATAAATCTTGAAACAGTTCCTTTGAAATAAAACTTATTAAACCCAACAGAAAATTACGGTTGCAATATGTGGCAGTTATTGAATGTGGTTCTTCATCCAACTTCCAGTCATTTAACTTTCGCATGCTCAGTTCATCCCAGAACAACGGGTCGACGAAAGTTGTGAAGGAAACAAATTTCACCGCCATTGCCCAGCAACAACACTCCAGGTCGTTTACGAAATCCAAATCAAAAAGCAGATGTTCAATTAAAGTGATCCGAATTTTCACTTTCAAATCCTACAAACGAGCTCAATTTACCAACAAAAGAACGAAATCCTAACCCTAATATGGCATTTCTTGATAGTACTGCTATGTTATCCTTCCAACTTATTCATAACAACTACACAATGAACTGGTGGAAATTTTTAAAACGTAAGTATACAATCCGTTTAATATCCTTGCCGACTTATTCTTGATTCTTTCTATAATTGTTTAAATTCAGTATGCAAATTGCAATAGACAGTTTCGAGGACGGATAAAAGTTGAAAATCTCAACGTTTGCTTAACCATTTTATTCATGTTTATAATAAAAAGGATATGCTAAATTCGATGAAATAAACCAACAAAAGAGAGAATTCAAAAACGTTGTAACATAAGAAAGAGAGGCATTGCGAGAAAAATAGACGCACAACAGTTTGAATCAATTAATTTTTGAGCCTCAAACACAGCTATATATTTGATAAAACACAGAAACACGAGATAGAAATGTCCAAGAAAAAAAGATGCGATATACAATACACATTTATATACATTCATGAGTTGGATAACGAAAAATTTTCATCTCTGCTATTACTTAGTAAATGACTTAGATGTTTATAAAAATGAAATCAATATGTATATGCTAATTTTTCACGACGATACATCCCAGATATTTTCTAATTAAAAGCGCAAAACCGTGCATACCGGTATAACAACAACAGAAAAAATGATATGACATGTCATTTTTTCAAATGGGGTGGAAAAAAGTCAGAAAATTACAGACAGATCAGTACACATGCATCAAAAAGTAGAAAAGTTAAAACTCCAAATCAGCAAAAATTTTAAAACTTTGAACATCTGCACGACTAGTAACTGATCTATAAAAATTTATGATCTTTTTCGACATTACAGCAAATTCATTTGGGTACTGATACAAATAGAATTAGTAGCTAGCATATTCGTGAAAATGTTGAGAGAAAACTAGGCAATGAACTGAAGGTATTCCAATGAGGCTCTTTTAAAAAATTCTGACAACATTTTTCCACTGGTTGTCACTGGTTCACAATATTAAGCACTGAAAGTAATTCAAGCAAATAAAATGCAGTCAACCGAAGTAATAATTTAAAGACAACAGAGAAAGATTAAAATAAACGAACATTGTAATTTTTGCTTGGTCGAATAGCTTGAGTCGACGAAGATAATGCACGTGCTCGTAGAATTTCATGCTGCGCGTCATGCTCTTCAGCTGACAGGCTTATTTCGCTTATGTGTCTAAAAACAATCCATACCACGGAAAAGTAAGAAAACAGATAATCTGTCAAAATAAGGCACACTCAAAAAGTTTTAAAATATGAGAAACAATTTTACTTCAGATTATTTATTATAAACGCAGTTCATAACATGTCAAATGGCAGTTACAGATATCAATTATTTTTAAAAATTTGGAAAATTTGCAATCTTCAAAACGTATTATTAGAAAGAGATTAACAAATCTGTTTAAGAAACAAAAAAGAAGGAAACGTTTACGTGCTTCGATTTTCCATACTTTCTTTTTCGGCTGCTTGTATGGAAAGAGCCAACAAATAACTGAAAAAAGTCAGTCTTTCTATAAGTGTTGAATTAAGCTGAGCGAAAAAAAGTAGTCGATCAGATTCAGCTTTAAAGATAGAAGATTCAGAAATTCCAATGTGTCCATAACCCAAAATTACTTTACGATTATAGTTTAATATTTTGCGCTATCCTGACTGGCAAAGAACATTAGAATCATTCATTAAAAATGAATGATTCTAATTTATATTGGCCAAACAAACTTTTAATTCGTCAGCAAATATTATTAAGAATGTTTGGAGGTTGCGTACTGAACTATTTAAACATAGAAATCAAGAAATCAAGCATGGTGGAATCTCAGACATAAAAAAGCAAACTACTGTTAAAATTAAAAATTTAAACCTACTCAGCACTCTCGTTAGCAAGGATGCTCGATTTATGCGATGTGCTGAAAACTGCATTGACGAAGGTAGAATTCCCATCAATACAATCCAATGTTTCCCACACAACCGCAGATTCTCCAAGAAATCCCATATCAGTAACTAGAACATACAGCGCATCCTGGAAATAACTTTTATAACACAAATTTTATGGAATATTTTAAGGGTAGATGAAAAAGAGGTAAAACGATAGCTAAAAAATATTGTCAGAAATGTGAATCTCATAAACCTTTTGCTTTGCTAATGTTTGAAAATGATTATTTCGGAAAAGTACAGCGATTTCACCATCCTTGAGATTTGAACGAAGTTCGGCAATTCCCTGTGTTGTCAATTGAGATGCGCTCGAATCTAGGAAATTTCTCAGCATGCAATTTTCGGATTCATTGTTTGTACTAACAATTTTCTCCACTATCCGATTGTAACTTAATCCATCCACCACTGTCACTGAAAAAAAGAAAAGATTTCCTTCGAAGCAGAATAAGAGACTGCTATAAAACATTGTGATAAAAGGGATCAGCTGACTACTTGCAATCAAGTGACGATCATAAAAACACCAGCCGTCATTTCATAATTATTAAGGATATCAATGAAATATTATCATCATCATTTCTACTTTTTTATGTGCATTTTAATTCACAATTAAAAACATTTAAACACAAATGCCAGCGAGAGTACTTCAAAATATGACTATCCACCATTAAAAAGAAACTCGCCGCCTCCTTAGGCCCAAATAATCAGACGACAAAACACCCATAGGAATCAAACCCCATCTAACCAAATCAAAGAACACAAAGAAAAATCCAAAAAAATAAAAAAATACAAAAAAGTAGAAAAATACAAAATCAAATCACTAAACAAAAACAACTGAAAACCTTGCCTAAACATATGACAAAGAAAAAAATGAATACTAACCTCTAATATCCTCTAAAGCCACATCCTTAATTCATAAAAAAGATATATAAAAAATACACAAGACACAAAAAAGGCGGAATATTCCTGTATTCATAAAACCAACTAAATCAATACCAAAATATCCATTCCAAACATTAGAGGATAGTAACTATACTCCATCTTATGATAATTACGAAATTTCAACAAAATTACATCACATCATGAAGAATGCTTAAGATCGATATACTTATTATATTTTAAAAAAGTGGCCAAAAAATATAAAAGTAGCAAAAAAAGTACAATAAACTGAAATAATTAAAAGGATTATCAGTAGAACACAAATATGCTTTCTGCGACCTAACTATCTATTTCGTTAAGAAGAGCATTTCATTAAATACAAATGCTAGAGAGATTATCCGAAGCAGATATCACAACAAACACCGAAAAATATGATAATTTTTGTAATCTGTCTTCAATAATGATTTCAGTATATCTAGTATGAAACAGAGTTATTCCATTCTTTTTTTTCGGAAACATAAGAAATTAACATACATAATTCCTGATCAGTTTGATCAATAATCCACCCATGCACTAGTGGTATATTCAGAATATCAAACAAGGCGCATGCTGGCGTGTATTCAAATCTCTTTACTCTGGAAAATGTCAAATTACTAGCTATTCGACTTACAAAGTGAATATGTTCATTGTAAAACTGCGTAAGAAAAAGAGGCAACACACCCAGTGAAATGAATATTTACATCGAGGCCTTTAGGTAAAGAAGGTATCAAAGCGAGCACATCTGATACATTTTGCTCATAATTTGGCAGTTCTGTCTCATCGATATCCTGAAACAGAACACGAGAACTTTTTTGACGACAGCAGTGTCAGTGCAAAATTTATGTGTAAAAATTTTGAAAATTTTTCAGTGTTTTGTGTCATTTATTACAATTACAATTCTTATGTAACGTTCTTATGTCCTTATGTTACAGGATTGATCTGTAGAATGAATGGAGATTGCACAATGCAACATTATTAATGTAATTACAAAATCTCTGTATAAAGCAAGTTAAGCCACTTTAAATGATAATAACCTTGGGTTTGAGACGAAGTATGCAATCTGCAACGAACTGCAATAATCTCTTTTCACTAACTTCTGTAGAACCACGTGGCAAGGTGATCTGTCCTGCAAATATTTGGAAATGCAGCAATAGCTGATCAGATTTTACTCAATCTTCATTCCAGAGCAATGATATGCTGGACTACTTTCCGTACCTTTTCAACTCACTGCTCCAGAAAACAATGTTATTTTCCTTACCTTAATTACTTACCCATAAAAATCAACTTCAGCTGTAATACGAAAATTATAAAGTAATGAAATACGACCTCGCAAAAGGAGTACGTTGATAACGGCCAACAACGGACACGGTCCATTATCATTTTGCATCACAACCGCATATTCGACACCCTCCACATCCACCCACTTAATCTGAACAACGAAATATTAACGATATGTTCCGGCATGCAGAATCAAAAACATCAAGATTCTAAGAAGTATTGTTTATATCTTATATGTGTTTTGTCCGAAACATGAATTCTGACCTTTCTGCAATGAAGTGTCCTACAAAAGTCTTCTGCGTAATCATCAATAATAGAACCATGAATTAATTCCCAAACCATCATTTTAGTTTAATATTTCGGGAAATTTACATAATAAACACATGACTCGCTTTCAACTGATTGTTCATCGGCTTCTGAACTATTTTCACTTTTATCTGCCATACTGTGAACATCGGCGACGATATCTTTTAGCGTAAGCGACGTTGAAGAATATAAGCACAAAAACGCTACACTTCCGAAATTAATGAAGACGCCTGCGACATACAAATATTAAAATGCTTCCAAAAAAAGTACATACATCAATCTAATCGTTTTTCAACTACATACCCTAACTACCAGAGATCCTCAGTGAACAGGTATTAATCATACGATATTTCCACACCGAGCAAGAAAGACAAGTAAAAAATGTGGCACTTGAATCTTTGAAAGCAATTCAGTAGCCCCACTCACAGCCTACAAAATTCAGGCATATTTCAACACGATGAAATCAATGTTACTGATAGCCATTCATATGCCGACTATGATTTATCACTTTTCTTTGTTTCTTGAACTACCAAACTTAGTTGCTTGAAATGCCAACTTTTCAAAGGACTCACTTCATAGGAAAAAGGCAGATTTCAACGGCAAAAATACCACACTACGCTCTTGAAAAAGACAAAGGAAAAATATTCTTTTAAAATTTTATATGCAAATGAATAAATGGTATTTAATTTTGTATTATACGCAGCACAGAATGCTATGAGAGAAACAAAAGAAAAAACAAATAAGGAGCATAAAATCGCCAAAGTTCACACGATGAACGAACGACAAACCCCAAAAAAGAACACTTGATCTAGGTGTATTCAGGATGAAAAAAAATATGAAAGAGCATAACAGGAGAAAGGGAGAGAGGAAAATTTATACTACACAATACAGATCTTTGACGAAGCACAAAGTTTTTTTGTGCACCGTATTCGCAGCTACAGGACGATAGAATCGTGCTGCAAGAAAAGGAAAAGTAGCAGGAATGCGCTGACGTACATTATTTTGGAAGCTCAGAAAGGATGATAGAATAAAATGGCCTCTGTACGAAATCAATCTATTTAATTCCGAGAAAAAATTAAAGGCAAATAAGATTTCTGACAAACAAGAAATCAAAAAATTGTTCAAATAATTAATGTAACAGTTTGGATGTCTTATATTTAATGACATGGGATGCTTTACCTTGCTCAGTAAAGCAATGTAACGCATCAACCTGCGACCTCACATATACGTTCTAATTTATCACATTGCGTATTTTTGGGTCCATTCACGAGCTAGTTGATTATATCGTTCTCGATCTGTTTTGTAAATGCGTGCAATTTCAGGCACCAATGGATCATCAGGATTCGGGTCACACAGCAGTGAACAGATTGATAACAATACTGCAACTACACAGAATAAGAGTCTAGTATCGCACGTTTAGAAAAAATATTGTAATCATACCATGGAAATGACACTTTGAATAAGTCAATATTTTTTTTGTGGGTCATAATGTGTCAATATTCGAAATCTCAGGCAAGCTATATAAACCCTGCATTCCGACTTGGCAATTAAGTTTGGAATATTGACTCTGGGATGGATGGAGGTACTTTGTCTACTTCTACTGTAGCAGTTCATTATATTTATTGTCAGCTATTTCATTAATCTATTCAAGATCTGAGGGACAGATAGATAAGAAAGGAGCATTTATTTTATGTAAGAATGTAATACCTTTTGAAATTGTGAGAGCGGGTGACCACTGAGAACGCAAAATATCTAAACAGATACTACCATTACTGTTAATATTGGGATGATAAATGCGAGTTGTAAACGCTACCTGCAACAATCATATTAATTGTTTCAAATATAGGTCAAATCACTCCCACAAAACTTCACAAAAATACCCGCACAGACCACAAGTAAAATAGTTAATCACAGCGGACATGTAATATAATCATTTCTGTTTTCTGCATATTTCACTCAAGATGAATGTTTTCTCGCCTTTCAAGAAAAACATATTTCTGTTATGGTAGCACAACCAAAGTGAATGCACTGGAAAACTTAGGCTTATCAGACTTTGCGGTATCAAATGCAAAACAAAAGTATCTGGTAAGATTATACCACCCAAGCAGCAAATGAGTCAAAAGTCCGACAGGCAAAACTTCGCAAACAAGAGAGATATCACCCTACAATTTTTATATAAAGTCTTTAAAAGCGATAAATGAAAGGAGGTCGATGGAAGATGGTAAAGAAATCAACAATACGAAGACCAATGCTGTACAAGGCTTGATCTCACTTTTTTATGAGGAAATTAAAACAAATTATTAAGATGAACTACTATTGAGATAAACCAATTTCGATTTCTTCATATTCACATTATGCATAGTAGTCGAAAAACGAACAAAAATTAAAGTAATCTTTTATTTCACCAATGTTTCACTGTTCTTACCTTTGGTGGTTTAAACGGATAATCCGTCGGAAAATGAATTGTCAGGAAAAACACACCACCTTGATATGGTGATTCTGGTGGACCCATTATAGTAGCTTGCCAATGAAAAAGATCATCGCCAACTGGTCCTGCACTACATTGTGCGGGAGGATCTCTGCCCAAATCTTGCAATTCCTAGAATAAGTAAACTATAAATTATCCTTAAGCAGAGTAAACTACTGCAATATTTAAAATGAATCAACAAAAAAGAACAAAAGGATGATGCACCAAGCAACAAAAAATTTTTTGCTCATTCAATTTGTCAAATTACGAAGTTCTTTTGTTTCTAAATGTAATACAAACCGAAAACACTTACTTTCTGGATCCGTTTCAGTGCCATTTCAACTGATGCTTCTGTCCGTACTTCAGGAACTTCAAACGAAATAACTAAATGTTAAAAGGGATAGATAAGTGACAAGCGTCATGTGCAGAACGGATGGTAGTGATTGATTTTTGCTTACAGTACAACAATCACTCGCCATGCTGCTAACCGACCACTCTCAATATATCAAATGCTACTTTACATGTTCACATCCAATATCTTACTGTCGGGGTATGCATGTTAAAAGCAGCCGTAGGGCGCAGTTTCCAGCAGTCCCTCCTTTCTCCCTTATCAGTCACCAAGCACTGTCCACAGATCTTCCAGACATCACCGAGGCATAACACTCCAGCAAATAGCCACGGTAGCCTTGCAATACATTCCTAGAATTTTATGAAAATACTTATCCCATTTTCGTCTTTTCACTATGTTGTCTACAATCTCGCTTACTATATTTTTCCTTCGTCTAGTATCCGCTGGAAGATTTTGATTGTGAGTGTTCACGCAGGTACCCATAAATCATACACAACTTGGAAGCTCGGAGCTAATTTATTTCACCTACTTGCTATTCCATTTCACTTTTTAACTAACTCGCCGTCAGTGGTATTTGAAGCGCTAAATCTTACGTAGCGTTAGTCTCAGCACATGGTTCACTTCTTGAAACGTATGATTCATACAATCGAAATTGAAGTGGAAAAGACGAGGTATCTTTTGAGAAAATTTATATGCTTCGACACCCCATTGATTTAGGCCCATTATTGGAAAATATCCTGGCAAAACATGGAATAACGCGGCAACGAAGATGAAAAACGACGACTGCATTATATTTCATCTCCGAAAAACTTATCACCCTTCATCTTCAACTTCTCATTCTATTTCTTCTTCTTCACCTTTGCAATTGAATTCTAAGCAAAGTTTATCAGAAGATGAAACGAAAGCGCTAACAACCAACACCAGAAACAGATATAATGAAAATGATATGACAGATCAAGACACCGTTACTTAGTCATAATATACTACGAAACAAAATCACTTGAATATCAAGAAACTTCTCAACCTCCTGGTTAAACAAGTACAAACATACGTATATCTTGACCATCATATTCCAAAAATTGAATGAGCCAAAAGAACTTAGTATACTCTATCCTAAGAACAATAATGACCATATAAAATAGAGCAAAACAAATTTTAAATGTACAATTTTAAGATAAATATCCCAACTTTCCACTTATACCAACATTCATACATCCTTTGGTTCTAGCTTAAACATCCTGGATACTAATCTGAATATAGTCTTAATAAATTAGATTTTGCAACAGTTTTTTCAGTTTATTACACAAAAGACTATTGATAAGAAATGGAAATAAAGAATTAAACCACAAGGACAAAGTTACATCAAAACGAATTATAAGATTGAGATCAAAAGGAAAATTTTTAGAAATTGCTACTTACTAACAAATACTTTAAGTAAATAAGCTATAAATATAACATGCTTCAGGAGAAGGACAGAAAAGGAAATCCTTGCTGTTCTACGTCCATTCCTCCTCAGGACACCCCTTCTGCCTTCAAACGTAGGAAACAACTCTGGCAAACACGCACTGGCTTCGAAATTTTCATGTGTTTTATATCAGTTTCAAACCGACTACACCTGAAACGAAATACTATTTTAAATGATCCAAATTTTGCACAGGTCAGGAAGCATATAGATATCTAAAATCCACAAAATTACGCTAATGATTTAGAAGTAATTTTTTTATACTTTTATTAAAAATTACATACAGATATTCGATCTTTATTTAAAGAGTTTATGACTACTCACCGGTTGCAAAAAATATGCCCACAATTTCGACAGTGATGCCGCCTTTCGGCAAGCGAGAATTTTTGCATACACTGTGTGCATGAACTTCTACTCGGATCTTGTATCCAGTGGTCCGCACGTGCACCAACTTCATCACCAATCTGCCAGCTCCAAACGCGACCAGCACTATCTCCAACAAACAGAGTTCGGTGATCTCTGAAATTCTTGACGAAAATACAAATTTTAAATCTAAAAAAAAACACGAATCAACTTCTGCAAACCTAGATGGGGTGATCGCTGTAATCGAAGCAGGATGTGGATTATCCTTACGATTAAAAGCTGTATGAGTTGTCAATGAAAATTTCGGTACCAACAATTTTTTCCAAACCAACTTTTCCGAACGATCAGCTTCTCCTTCTTGCCATTTCTGAAACAAGATTTTATTCAGGTTCCTAACACAAAAATAAAATGCCTTAAGAAAAAGATTTTTAACAGTACCTACATCTGAAAGATGTGAAATCAACTAACCCAGCTACAATCCAATCTTTCATCGTCGTATAAATTAATAGAAGGATCGAAAAGTGGCTCAGGTGAATCAGTTTGACTTCCAGCAGAGGGAGAGTTCGATGAACTTGCTTCTGACGATAACAACTGTAAGCGTTGTCGTTGTCGCTCAAGGTGTCGTTGTAGAGTAGTCATATTATTTATATTTGTTTGCAATGTTCTTAAATATTTGTAATCAGAAGAGTCAATAAAAACCTCGCAGGAAACAAAACTTGAATTAATAAGCTGAATTTAAAAAAAAAACACTGAACATACGCTGGTAATCGGCTTGCTTTTGGATCCAAGTCATCCTCATTTCTCACGAACTCCAAGCAGTATATTCGTACAATGCCATCACTACCGCCACACATAACCACATTTTCTGGATCCCATTCATACAGCTGCAAATTTAAATGCAATCACTAACATTATAGTGTGCTACATATTAAACATAACTGTATTACCGTTGTGAATAGAAATGAAAATTAAAAGAGTCACCGTAGAAAATGACAGTGATAAAATGACATTAGGAAATTGACCGAACGAAGCTGTATCAACACTATCAATTACAGATAGAAGTCGTCCATTGATTGACCACAGAAACAGCGTCGATCCTGATGCTGTAAGTATATCCCCCTGCAATTCATGTTATAAATAAATTCTGATCAGTTTATACCGATTTACTCCATAATTTTCAGAGAGATTTAATTTTGGCAACTAACCGTCGTGTCATTGATAGCAACAGCTGTTACTGCAGATGGGTGCAGTCGCAACTGTCGAATAAATGTTAATGCACTTAAATGCCAAACGATAGCAGTACCATCACGGCTACCACTCACAAGCAAAGTTTGTGCTGAGCATACAACCAGTGCAGTGATTGCCTCTGTATGTGCTGTTAATGTGCGACGAAATCGAATGCGAGGATGTCGTTCCGTCAGATCCCAGACACAAACTTTACCTGTACTGGAACCGGTGAAAACTGTCCGTGAATCACCACATGCACAGCAGGTAATTTCAGCGCTTTCGGACAGTTCATAGACACAAGTGGACTGGAAAAAATTCTGCACTGTTATCATTCAAACATGAAACATCACGAAAATTTTGTTCCATTTTCTCTATCACTTAATATCTGAGGTTTAAAAGCCGAGTTTTATAACTTTAAAGATTGAATCTGATATAAAAATCACCCGATCATTGTCAATAGAACCAATCCTTATACTTCTATCGGGAAAGCCCCAAGATATATAACGATTTGGCAAAAGTAGTATACGATTTGTTTCTAGCGCAAGCACTCCACCTTTCTCGAGTGGAACTAAGCTTCCAACAGCTGATTTTAATTCTGAAAAATTCAGCAAATCAGCAGGACTGAACTTATATCCATTTGAGAATCCTAATCCTCCAAGAAACCCTGAAAAGTCACCTTTTATTGGCTGTGCTGGTACTTTTAGTGAATCAAAAGAGTGATAAAAAAGTCGCTGTGTTGTAACGCCGGGAGTTGATGAATAAATATCTGCATATGCAACTTTTTTTTGTGGATGCGGTTTTTTAAACAGTTGCGATGGAATTTGCCCAAAATTGTTGATAAAGCCAATGGTTGCGTTTCTAAAATCATGATAAATGCAAAACTATTCAATATGACTATGAATAGTTCCAAAAATGGTTTGGTTCTCATTTAGACAAGGAATGTATCTATTTAATGCGACTCAAAAACATATTTTTATTCAGAAACAGGTGCATTTTTAATACGGCCTCAGTAATCAAATAGGTAGAAAAGCTTAAGAAACATAGAAATCTAAACCAAACAACTTATTGATTTATGCATACCTTGTTAGTGGATCTTCAATACTATCAAAATCAACATTTCCTTCATAAAAAAGATGATGATAAATATTATTCGCTTCAGCGGCAGCATCTCCGCGCTGCTTATAGCCGAAGATCAAATCTATCCAGTTATGCAAATTTGCTGATACGTAATCACATTCCAGTGCCTGAAGAGTTATAAACATATAAGAAATTTTGGAAATCCCAAAATATCCTATAATCCTGTACTCAAAGACCAAAAATGCGTAAGATTAATACAATAGTTTCTTCATTATAAAAAAAATCACCTGTCGATGCATACGTACAAATTCTCTGGCATCACCTTTTGCCCAAGCTGGAAGTACCACATCATTCAGCGCTACACCATTTTGCTTGACACCAAAGTCAAAGTGATTTGAGTTAAGAAACATTTCAGGGAGCGAAAAAAATTCGGGAATCAATTCTTTTACATCTGCCATATTATTACGGCTTGCACTAAGCCAAGCATCACCAACACTGTGAAACATTCGATCAGCCAAATCGAAATGACCACCCTAAAATTCCACTTTATTATTGATTTTTATGCAATTGAAAATTGAAATATTATGTTGATAATAATGTAAAAGATTTTGATTTCACTTGCAAAATTTCGCAAGAAAGCTGTTCATACTGATATAAGAACAGAATAGAATACCTGAAGCTTCAGAAATTGCTGCGTGAAAGGTTCCAAACGTACAAGATATGAAACGACGATCATAGCACTGCTGTAGTGTGTACCATACATGTATGCAGGCGTTTCACCAGTTGGATCATCCCATTCTCGATATCTTTTCAGAAACTGTTCTAGACGTTCTAGATTCTGTGCCCCCATTGGTTTACTTAAGTCACGAAAGAAACGTGGATCTGTCAGATTTAGATCCTGTAAAAACATTCCAAAATTATAAATAAAAATAGATTTTATTTATAATTGAACTTGCTATTTACAAATTTTTTTTCTTATATAGAAAAAAAACCACCTCTGATTCGTAATCTCGTAATATCCAAGGAAATACCGGGTACTGAGAAAGATCGTTATAAGACCGACCAGCTAAAGTATTCAGATGCATTAGATACTGAAAATTACTGATTTCTCCTCGTACCCAACGATGCGTAACAGACTGCTGTCCTGAAATTCAATAAAAGCACCTATAACTTTTTTGTCTTTAGAATCAACTCCAACTTGAAGTGCTTACAGCAAGATTATCAGCATTTTGATGTTATCATTCCATCAACACAGTTTTCTGACCAAACGAATCGAATGTATTAAAAGGACACCTATGAATGAGGTCAATAATGAAACACGACTTGTTTGCTCCATTGGTGCAGTCGACCTCTGTCCTCCTACAGATTCGGATCCATTATCTTTCAGTAATCTTGCTAGCGACAAAAATCTGAACAAAAACATAAACTGGATTTCTAGAACACAGTAGCAGCGGAAAATAAAAATCTAAGACCAGCGAACTTTAGAAAATTTTCGACTCTTTGGTAATAAAGTATTCTTTTACAATTTATTCACATTTTTCACAGATAATTATTATTTGTTAACACTGTTAAATTTCGAAACTCTAAACCAATACTGCAGTTTTCATTCTCAAAATAAAGTGGAGTCTGCCTTACTTATTATACACATAAGTGTTGCAATTTTTATTTACAAAAATCTTGTGAATGGTAGGAAAAATCCAAGTGACGAACTTTTGATAAACTCGATTACGCATACGTCTTGGAAAAGCCAGCAGATAATTACGCCCATCTGCTGAGAATACTTCGATAGCAATTGGTTGAAGAAGATAGCGACGTCGATGAACTTCACGAATATCATTGTATGAAAATTTACTACACAATCTAGTGCGTCGCACAGGATGGCTAGTACCACAGGCCATGTACGGTACAATCGGATCATGCAATCTAAATTTACTAACTCACCAATATAGAGAAAAAAAAACTTTAAAAAGATATGCAATAAAGGTGTAGGAGAAACGTTATCCAGAAATTTACCCTTCTGCAACAATACCGAAAATGAAATCTAAAAACTTGCTCTTGCAGAAGGAAATCCAAATCTCTAATTTCTCTCGTTTTCAGAAGTGTAAATCCATCAACAACATAATAATGTTGTCTTCCAAACAATAATAATCCTTCACTTGTATCCAAACCCTGCACACGTGCACAGCGGAACATAGAATGCAATTGCTCGCCCTATAGAAAAGCAAAACTGATAACTCATCGCAGAAGACAAAGAGAGTTTTATTTCAAGTTCAGAATGTTTTATGCAAAACTTTGCACACCTGAAATCTAAATCACGAACTCGCAAAGAATTTCGCATACCTGTTCCAGAAGCCTCAGCAAAGTCTGATTATCGGGTCCCCTTTTTCGTTCTATACTTCCATCTTTTGCTTTAATAGTCATTCCTTCATTTTCACGAGTACCATTTTTCTGCTCATTTGCTGCTTGCCGTCGCTCAATACTATGTTCTTCATCCACACCATTTTCTTCAACATTTTCCTCGTCTGCTTCGTTCACATCTTTCTCATTTACAACACATTCCGTTTCATCACTGTCTTTACTCAGGGCATGCTTGATCGACACACGACGAATCATTGACGTACTGATCTCTAATAGACAAAAAACACTCTTCGAAATTCTATTTTATCTCAGAAAAATCAAAAACTAAATCGGATTTGATAAAAACAAATAGACAAGGATGTCTATGATAATTTCATAAACAAAATGTTGTCTGATGGAGTACGCATCATTTAATGTTTCAATATAAACTGATGTATCCAAAGGCTTTAGAAAATGTTTATACACCCACAGTGAATGAAAAACAGTTCAGTAAAGTAGATACCATGCAAAAAAGCCTAGAAACCTTGCATGTCAGTGAAAAGCAGATCTGAACATTCTTCAGATGGAGTATAAACCATTGCTGACAAATCGATGATTCTTGGTTCCGGTATTTTCCCACGCCGCCGCCTTATAGCTGCATAATACAGCTTGCTATCTTTTGATACCGCTACTTTAGCACGCATCGCTTTCTATAAAAAGCAAAAAAAAAACTTGATATCATCATCAGAAAATTTAAATCTTGACAAAACGTATTCATCCCTGATTTAGAAATTCCAAATTCTAAACTAAAACAGAAATGTATTTACCAATTATAAAACACGAGCAGTGAAAAAGTATTAAAAAATTACCGCTTCAGGAGAATCAAGATGTGGACGATAGGGATAATGATGATAGAAAGTTGGATTGGGAATCAGCTTCCGTCGTATGCGACAAGGCCCTTCAGTCATATCTAACATATATTTATCTAGAGAAGAACCAAGCTCTGCTCCCCAAATTCCACGTTCTCTGTAAGGAATTGATTTTATGACACATCATTTGAGCACAAACAGTCATACTTAAAAATCCTAGGAAACTAGTAAAATTCCTATACGAACCTTATCAATTCCATCTCAAGAGAACGCCAGTCTTGCATGCACCATTTTTGTACATGTGAATGCCATTCATGATAACAGAGACATTGCGTGCGAACAAGTTCTCTGATTAATGATATGTGCACACGCAGCCACATTTGAACTACCTGCAAAATCGTCCAAAATTGTTCATTTATTATCCAAATTATTAAATTAAAGATTTTTCCATATTTTTTCAATTCAATCATAAGCATAGGAAATATTGCACGTTTGCCGAACTGACCTCTGTAGTGATATTTGGCTGTCGCGAAAGTGTGAAGCTGCAGATTGAATTAGAACTGCTCAGTGTTTTGCGAGTAGCTAAACGTTGTAAACCGGTAGCAACTTTCGTGATCTTCTTAAAAATTAATTTACTGAGGACATCAATACAACTCGAATTCGAAATTATGCATAAATAAGTTCAAAACCTAGACAATTTTACTTAACAATGCTCACAACCACCCACCGACTGTATTTGTTGTTGAAATTGCATAGTGCTTTTCGGTGAAGAATTCATCTGTGAATCAACAAATGATAGCCATTCAAGACTGGCAGCATGTGATAATAAAGCACGCGCTGCATTTAACTCTGTAACGAGACCGCTTCGAAAAACGTCTTCTAGAAGATTTCGTTTAACTGCACAAACCTCCTTCCATACCTGCGAAGCACATAAGGCAACCTAAAATATAAATTCCTAAATGCACATGAAAACACACAAACATTTACAAAAGAAAATGTCAATAAATTCGTACACGTAAAAACGCCTTCACAGAAGCTCACCTGAGCACTTCCACGATCAAGATTTGATGATCCTTCCTTTTTTGGAAGGATGTCCGGTGTGACAGAAAGCATAAATAAAAGATGGGTGAGAGAGCCGAAAAACAAAGGATCATTGTGCGTTGGAGACAGTATGACATTGCGATGTAGGATGATTTCCGACAACGTATTCAAAATTGACATTTGCACTGCAACTTACTAGCAATAAAAGCAAAAATCATAATTTTGAAATAATTAGTACCACTGCAGCATACGTTTCAGGAAAATGCCATTTTTTTTTTTAACTTTTGATTTGCAGTGATAAAGAACATTTAAAAAAATCACCCCAAAATGTGGAAAGATGAAAACTGGAATATGCAAAGGTCAAAGAATTTCCTATCTTATAAATAATATCTGCTATAACATACCATTAACATTGTCAATGGGTCTACTCAAGAGATATAAAATGACCCGATCAAGCGATTGCATAAGCGAATCGTAAGAAATTGATTTCGGATCGTTACGTCGAGTGAGAGCAAGTCCTTTCAATAAGAAACTAAGAACACGACTTGCTTCTCCAATGTAAATTCCTATAAATCTCTCTACCTGAATATTTTAATTGGAGTCTTGGTTGAATCAAACAAATTTGCGATTTATAATAGAATCAACTGAGAACAGAATGATGATAAAAATTTCTTAATACTTACCACTCCAAACGCAGTCAACAATCCTGGAAGCAAAATAAGCAAAATTTGCAAGTAAAACTGCAGAAGTTGCAGCCGAAGTCCCACAAGTTGCTGCAGTGCTTGGTTTTTCAGACTCTAGTAGAACATCTGAAAACAGACAAACGAATTAAATTAGTAAACAGCTAATTCTGTACAAACAATTCACCTCAAAAGCTCACCGGTAGCAATCATGTACTCCATGCACAAAGATAAGTTTTCGGAAAGCACAAAAGTACAAAATCGACGGGAGCAACCGTATTCAGGAATGTTCTGTAAAAAGCAACCGTATACAGGAATATTTCAGCAGAAGAAACTCATGTGAGAGATGAATGAATATATAATAGATTGGTTCTCTTTTTTAAATGAATAAATAAATAAATGGTTTTCATTTTTCACTCATTGAAAGGAATTCGAATTTCTATCGAAGATTTTTGTATACCTCGATTAATGCATCTAATAAAGAATCAGGCTTTGCACCATGATTCCGATATATGTCTTCATATAAAATCCGCTTTATTAAATCCAAAACATTTCGACAGCAACTTTCTTCAAGGACTGGAAAAACACATATGAAACAGTAGCAAGTAGATTTTGTCAAATGCATTTTGCTTATAAGAACATGTTAAAACGAAAGTTCATACCAACATGCATATCATAGAATGATGGCGAAAGCGAATTTTCATCTTTGATTGTACTTGATTCCATGACATTCAAAGGTACAAGAACACAAAATAGGTAAGTTATGAACTCTTCTGTGTGGCAAAGATTACAAAAATTGGGACAGTTCTGGTATAAAAAAGTGAACATCTGAATCACCGTAGAAGAATATACCAATTTGTTATCATCGTGAGGTGATTCACCCTGAATATAATTCTCAGTGAGAATGATACCATGAAACTAACAAACACCTACTGTTTCTTAGAAAGTTAATCTGGAAACTGTTCTATAAAGATAACTAAATTAAATAAAACAAACGCTGAAACGTACGTTGGCATGAATTGCAGCTCGAACCATCGATAACAGGGGTATAACTGCCTCACAACAAATTTCTATGCCAGAAACGGCCTCAGACACAGAACTTAAAAGGAATTTTTTAAATATTTCAAATTGAAATCAAAAACTGTCTACAGAATTTGATGAAAAGACGAAGAATTTTTAAAGTGAACAACCTCGATAAAGAAAGGCCAAAAACATGGGACCAAATAAGATCAAGAGAAAAATTATCCACAAGCGTGATGCTTGATATTGGCTGGCCAACTAATAATGCCAACATCGCCAAATAGCATTGCGGTTTCTTGTAGTGGAAGTGAAGCAAGTGTTCAAGCATTATAAAACCACCACATTCAGAGAGTTCTGGATTGATGTCAACATGGGCTCCTACGTTACCTCCGTAAGCTGACACGGAAAAACCAAGTAAAACCTAAAATACAAAAATCTATAATAAAAGAGGTGAAACACAATGTATACAATGTACACGTATAAGCTTTACCATTTACTGCCAATTTTATAAATTCCGTGACACTAATATTCGGTGATTGTATGCAAATCTCGACAAATACGCCCCACAAAATCAATTTCGATGAGCATGATAAGAAATTACCGCAGCCCTGTTACGAACGAATGAGTCCGCATCTGTTAACCAACCACCATTTGCTGAGCCTTCCTTGAATTTCTGCATCAGATGGTCGTGTTTCAACAGCGCAAGAAGAATACGTAGACCAAGTACAACAGTTGTATAATGGACACCTGGCGTAAACAGAGCCAGCACCCAATCGAAACCGAGTGTTTTAACGACTAGGTCACATAATCTGAAAAGCGAAACATGAAAATATATTCGTTTCAAATCACGTACAGGAAAAAAAGACAAACACAAAAATGAAAAACCGACGATTTGGTTAAATTTCCAGCTTTATTTCATATGTCGACCAGTCAATAAAAATAACTACCATATGTCGAACTATCGACAATTGAAACATGTCTAAAAACTGACAGATATGACTCAAATGAAGCGTGACTCACAGCAAATTGTTGTTTACACTTGAATGAGTCAAGGTGTTTGCTATTATGTTGAGAATACGATTGCGCACATAAATATCATAAAGCAGACGATCAAAATGTGACGAATGTTTGCTAGCAAAGAGAGCTGCTTGCAGATCGGTTATCGAAAATGCATATGACGTTTCATTCTGGTCCGAGCCAGGTATTGGAAGAGTTGCAGCCATCAGCTGACCAACTCTATAAAAACCGATGAAATGCAAAAGTGAATGCAAAGATTCAGTTTTTATCGCCTTGGAAAAATTGTAGATTTGATAAGTTCAACAATTTGAAACACTGTTGTTATCAACAAAAGGCACGGTTGCCCGAAATAGTTTTTAGTGATTTTGATATTTTTCTTAATGTAAATGCATGTGCATACATGTAGCTGAAAGTTTTAAAAATCACTTTAGCAGCAATAAACTGTCGGCAGGAGGTTGCAAAAGTGCAGCAAGAAGATTGAAAACAATATCATTAACAGCAAAAATAAGGTTCGGATGATCAAAAAGTCGAATAAGAAGGCGGGATGGCAGTGAACTACGGAGCACCATATTCAGGTTCTCACTATTCTGGCTGAAAATACTTTTTTTTTCATTCTATGTACAACAGATGGAATGAAAATCAAAAATAACACCATGAGAAGCTAAATTTTAACTCACTCCGTAATTAATTCATAGAAATGTTCATAAAGTAGTCTATTGAGGTCAGGACTAGCGTCTTTCCAAACATCTAAATCACATAACATATCTTCAAAAACTGAAAGATTCGGGATAATGGATGTGTCTTTGCTGGTATCCAGTGTGCCAACCAAAGATAAAATTAAATGAAGAATATGTGAATTAAGAAGTTCGGTTTTTCCTTCCAGAAGCATCGCAAGGATCTAAAAGTTTGAATGATTTCAAATCACTGAGTTCACATACGTTATAAATAACTCAGAAGAAAAAATACTAATGAGAGAAAAAGGTTTACCTGATAAGATCTCGTAGTGATCAGATGTCTCGATGTAATTTTATCCGTCTTTACAGCAGTCGTCAAAGCTTTTAATGATGCATACAACTCTTGGGATGTTGTTGCCATTGCTACGAGACCAAACAGGCAAGATATACCTCCCACGCAATCCAACAGTCGAGTTACTGGGAATGGTGTAAACAACCGTATTCCTGAAAACAAGATGCATACAAAACACTCTGCAATGACATCGGACTAATCCGCTTCTACTTCCAAAATATATCCATATGGTCGTAAATATCCAAAAAAGAAAAAAAAGGATACCAAGGTATCCAAGAAGTACTGCTCCAAACGATCGTGCTGGCCCTGGTGCGTGTGTAACCGTATTGAGCAGAATCCGTAAGGGCGTGCTTCTATCATGAATTGAAACACCAATCTAGAAAAAATATGTAACCGATGACTTTATTTCGAAAAAAAACATATATCACTTTACATAAGTACTTTATGTAGCATAATAAACATACGTAACGTGCAATGAACGCGCTATCTGCTTTGCTATATATTGAACCAATTCGTGAAACACTTAATTCCTTATTGGCTACAGCCGATAAAGACAAACAAATACGCTCCTCTGCAATAAGAGGGGTATCGCCGGACACTGTCTGTAATATTCAGTAAGTTATATAATACAATTTAAATATAAAAAATATCACAGTGTAACAGACTTAATTTTACTTGAACGTACCTGAAAATTCCCAATATAATGAGGTTCCAAATCATATATTCGAATTATTGCTTCTGCGCTTACTGGTTCTTCGACTATGACAAAAGTAGCAATTTTGAAACACAGCCTATAAAAATAACACTTAACCTGAAAATTTGATAAGTTTTAAAGCGCAATCACTAAAAAAGCCGTTGTTTCTTAAGGAATTTTAGATTAAAAAGTAGGAACTTTTAGAATTAAAAATGTTGATGAGTAACTTAAATGAAAACATTTACCTGCTCTGTGATCGATATACTGGCGGCGTACCAATAACAGCATAGACGCCATTAGCATAAGATAAATGAGCCGCACCACCACCAACATTCTGGATGATATAATGTAGTTTGTAAGTGCCTTCTAGCCGACCATTAATGTAAATGGCTGCCTATAGAGACAGAAAGTTTATAAAAGATGAAATCCTTGTGAAGTTAAAAAACAGTATAAAGACGAATGTAAAATTTTCAAGGAAGTAAACTTTGATCAGAGCAATAACTAAATCAGTTACCTGGCTATGCTTAAGAACAGATCTGGTTAGAACCACAGCGATATGGGTCCATTGCCCAATGCATATTGCATCTCCTAATGCAATACGAATAAGATTTTCATCCGCAATATTTCGCTCTTTCTCAAGATCGTTACCAGCAGTTTCACTTTCGGCAGTGCAAATTAGAAGTGACCGATCGATGGAGCTTAGCTACAGTGAATTTGTAAAAAGCAGAAAATGGTAATAATTTCAACTAATTGAATTTGGTATTATAATTCCGAGCTATGGAACAACTAAATACTTCACAAAACCAAACAGAGTTGGTAAAATAGTATTACCTGCATCGAAAGGCAAACAAGTGAGGGATTCTGCTTTGAACCATCTTCTTTTTTAGATGAATTAAATGAACGATAAATCGTGAGTAAGCGTATAGGATGCGGGTCGATTCTTTTATCACTAAACTGTTCCACGCAAAGCCACCTATAGTAATATGAGGTTCATATCCATACCGCTTTTTTGACAATTTCTATCATAAGATTTGAAGAAAAATATGGAGTAAAAATAATTAATCTATGCAGAAAATAACCAATAACTTTAAAAATAATACGAGATTTTCTGAATCTGAACAGTAGTAAATTACTCACATCATTACTGTTAAACCATTTAGAGGCGGAAATATCCGTTCACCACGTCCAATTCCAAAATCTGTTGAAAGTGGTGCTAGAGATGGAATTACAAGAGATGCAAAACCTTCAGGTGCCATATCAAATTCCACAAATGATGGATTTTGAGCAATTCGATGATCACGTGGTGTCATCATTGAAACCAGCGCTTTCACCCTAAATACAAAAATGACTGCAGCGTCATGTTGATAGCTGTCAATCACTACTCATATTTCAAATAAGCGTCATTAAGAAAATTAAAAAAAAAATTTTAGCAACGATCTTTAATACTTCATATCATATTTCAATAATTTAGAAAAGATTTACCTTGCGATGGAAATAGAACCACCCTCATCATCCGTCACTGGTTCTTCACCCTCCGTCTCATCCAAATTTCGACAACAAAGTGGCATACCAAGACGTAAAAAAGACCTGAAGCCAAGAAATGCCATTAAAAAGTTCCTAATTCATAAAATCTATGCCTTATCCACACTTCTAAATTTTAATTCCAAAAAGGGGCAAAAGAAGTTGTAGACGCTGCAGAAATTTGTTAACGAAAATACAATTTAAGACTGGTTCTTTCGAAAATGAGATTAACCTTAAATCGGACGGAGTTATTGCATGCGATGAAAGTCGCTCCAGGACATAATAAAATGGTGCAAGCATGAGGTGTTTTTCGCTTTTAAAAACATTAACGCCAATCTTCAATATGCTCTGTGCCATGTTTGATTGGCACATAATTTGCTGGTTTCTTTCCGGTCGCAAAAGTGCCTTGATAAGAAGAGCGCAGTAATATTGAGCTGCTGCAGCCCACTAAAGTGAAAGCAATAGTCGTTGAGCTCTCAGATTCAATTTCGATATACTAAATTTGATAGAGTAAAGTTTTCATAAGTGTATGAAATTTGACAAAAAATAAACATCATACCACTTTACTGGCTACCATGTTTGTCTGTGGCTGAAATTCAGAATTCACATTCAGAGGGATAGTGACTTGTTAAATGACACAATTATAACCAAACAATCAGGACTTTACCTGAAATGTGGATGACTGTATTGCGGGAAGGAGATGTAAGACAGAAATTAGCGCACCAGGATGGACAAGTACACCTGCTGTCCAGGATGCGAGAGATGCACATTGGTCGCCAGCTGCTGAACCCGAATTTGACGGCCAAACCGCTTCAGGCCTAAATATCACTTTTATCAAAATAAGGAAAATGCTATAAAATCAATCGAATCAAAAGTAAGCTTCATAATTCTCCAGTTATACCTTTATAAAACTAAGGATTTCTATACAAATGAATATAACTTACTTTTCATAACTGTCAAGAGCTAAGCTGACCAAAAACCGTATCATCGACAAAGCAATAAATATTGATGTTGGAATTTCGTCAGGTGGTAAGCAACTATAAAGGAATTTAAATTATCTTAAATATTTCAATTCCTCTCGAAAAAAATTGAATCTTTCCCCACCGAAATTCAAAATACGAACCCACTATTAAAAGATTCGTTGAAATCAAACATTTTGTGGCACGCCTCAACTTTACTTTGAATTTCTGATGTTTCAGCTTGCCATATTACATGCTCCGCATCGATTCTCTCGACATCTTTCATAAAGGCTCCACTGACCCGTAAAGCTAGACATAAATTATCCCACGTCACCTAAATTTATTCAAAAAGTAAGCAGTCACATTGGCAAAACACAGAAGTGCGATTTGCAAATAAAATTACAAAAGAAAACTCAAAATAAAAAAATCACCTCGTGGGAAAAATATTTTGAGTTGGATGGTTCATATCTCATGCTTATTGCCAGTACTTTGAAAATGATTTCTGTAAATCTCAGAAAGTTGGCAATTTCAGCAAGAAACACTTCTGAAATCGTTTCTTCCACATTACTCCTTAGCTTCCCCTCGAGACTGATCAGAAGAGACATCAGACACAAGTATCCTCCGCTGCGTCGAAACATTAAACGCACTTTGTGACTTTCACGTAAGGCACAGAGAAGGGACTAAAATATAATCTAGAATGAAAATCTTTGGACTCAAATCCTTTATTTTAGTTTCAAAAAAAATTCAATATCTGTTACCACCTTCAACAGTCATACCTTCAACAAAATTGCTTTTAAAGCCATGTTATCAAGTGTCGGAGTGTGAAGTACAAGGAGTAAAGCTGTGAGTTGTTCTTCACTTTGGCCAGATATCAGAAGCTGTTTCATGAGCTGCAAATTAAAATTTAAAAAAATATGCTACTGGAAGAAACAGTTCTCAGGAACAAAAAATTAAAAACTACCATACGTAATAAAGCAAAATTACCTGCAATGCAGAAGCTCTCCATTCATCGTTCTTGCTACAGATAAGATCGATGATTGCTTTTGAACCTGCATTTTCACGGAATGCACCTAAATTTGAAATTTTTCAGCACCTCTATTAAGAAACTGAGAAAAGTATATAATTACAACAATAACTTACAAGCATTAGCAAGATTGCTGCTGACAAGAAGAGAAAGTATATCAGTGCTCAACAAGGCAACTCGTCCTTCACTTTCAGACAGAGGTCGAGCTAAAAAAGATCGCAGTAAGATAGAATAGTAGCTTTCGAGATTTATTTACATGCCCTTCATAAAAATTTGATAGAATACATAAAGTGTTACTTTTGTCAATTGATATAAAATGCAACACTGCCCAAGTCAGTGATTCAACAAGCCCAACTTCACGAAAAGCATCCTTTAGAAGCGCATTGGCAGATAATATTCTAAAAAAAAAGAATATTTTGCAGAAATTAACCTGAAAAAAAGAAAAATTATTCCTATCAAGCTTAATAAATAGCTTATTGCATTTTTAAACAACAAATACATACAATGTACCTGAAAGCACTTTGTAGAAAAAGTATACAGCATTCAAGACTGTTATCCGATATCTCTGTTTTTAGGAGGACACTTAGCGCAATAAGCTCTTTACATGGAATATGACTTAAATGTAACACCACATACTCAATAAGTTCCATAACTTTTCGCTAAAATGAATTGAGGTTCGCCAGTTTTAGCAGAAAACACACAGAGACAATTTCAATTTGATTTGTGATGAATCGAGTTTATGTTAGAATTAATTAAGAGCAGCAAATTGGGATTTTATATATTGAAATTTATTTTCCGAAAGGAAATTCTAATTAATCTAACATGCACATTTCATTTTTTTGGTGATGACTATATTTTAAAGTACTTTTCCTAGTAATACTAATAATATATTAAAAGATTTTCATTCCTAACAAATATAGTACAGAATAATGCTATGTAAAATGAGGTTGAACATCTTAAGTCATATCATTTTACATCAAATGATAGCAGAAACTGCTCATAGAAAATGCTTCATTTGTATTTTCGAAAGTCAAGTATGATATTCACAAAAAAAAACCTGTATTTGGAGGGACTTTGACCCCATTCGTTCAATCATTTGAGATAATGGACATTCTTTATCCGCAATGAAGTAATTAACTGTATCAGAAGCATAAATATTATGAACAGCATCAACAACTGCCTCGCATATCCACTCATTTTTACACTGGAAGCAAGAACAATGTATAACAAAAAATTCAGTGAAAGTAAAAGACAATTCTTAAATACCGAATGGTAACGAGATGAAACAAATTTCTAAATCCTGAAAACCTTACCTGTATAAAAATTTGAAAAAGAAGGTGAAGTGCATCAACATTGCATAATGTAAGACCATTATTTGAAGGAATTGGAAGATTAAAAGTTGGAAGTACAATCAGTCCCGGTGTATAATTCGGTTTCAGTTCAGCAGTACCACATGTTGTCATGCTCATTATTAATATTAAGATATTTTTAATACCTTCTTCTGCTCCTTTATTCCTAAACAAAAAGTAATATGAAATCAAGAAGTTTACAGAGATTGCGAATTAGGGGTAAATACAGATATGGAAAACAGCAATTACTCGAAATTTGGATAAGGTCACAGTGTTAAGTTAAAATTAAAACTTACTCTGCATATTTCAAAATAAAGTCCCGTAATAAAAGATAACCATTAGCACGAGCAAAATCCTGCAACAGAACATTCACAGTGGTCGCGGAGTCCTTCAAAACAGAGAGCAAACAAATGAACATTCCGATGCGTTCCTGATCCAACAAGTTTTCATCCTCCTTACATATATTTGATAAAAACACTGATATACAATTTTTGGCTGTAAACAGAAAAATTACGAGCTTGAAAACTGTTCATCTACAGTGTAACAAAGAAAATGACTAATAAATTAATTTTTCGCTTTCAACTTATATTTCTACAGACATTTTCTTCTTACCAAACATTTCTTTCAAAAATTGGATTTGAAAACCCGGGCACCATCATAACCAGTACATCGAAGTGATCCCCCAATCAATACTCTATACTGCATTGTCGTATATCCTATTACTTTTTATTTTAAATGTACAGTTCATGAAATCTGTTAATTTCATGTTATAAAATGCATGATGAGTGTTGCTTAGACGACTTACAATTTTCAAAGAATAATTAACAGTACCATGGATATATTTTGTCACAGATGAGGATAAGCTTCTTGAAACTACCACTACAAGTAAATGAGATATTGCTTCTCTCCATTCGACATTTTCTGTAGGACATGCACATGAAGCGCCGGCAAAAAGAAGGAACAAATCATCTTTCCGAGTAAGCTCTTCGCTAACACAGTTGAATTCACACAACTTTTTCAAAACCTAGATAAAGTTATAAGACATTTAGTAGTACATATATTATAAATTCATCTTTCATTAGATAAATCCCTTCAGTTCCTCCCTCCTACTACTTTTTCTTCGTTTTCACGGATTCAAATCGAAAAAAAAGTTACTTTTTGGAAAACCACAAAAAGTTTTTGTTTGGATATTGCGACATCCTCATTGGCTGCAGGAGGTAAATCGAAAAATAAATAAAGTGCTTTAACCAGAGTAGAAGGCAACGCCGCTTTACACATCACTTCAATGACCTGCTCCTGTTTCCTGGAAATCTCTTCGATAAGCAAACTCAGCAAATGCAGTGAACAAGACAAATATTCATAACAAATTTTCAACACCAAGTAATCAGAAAAAATTTTAACTGAATACAATAATCACTATGATCCACTAGCAAGAAGGTAAATTCACAACAGCGAAATCAAAACTAACGTGCAACTAAGGTAGCAAGCTGCATTCAATAACGTCCAGCCGCGACAATCAGCAACATCTGGTAATAGAAAATTTAAAATGGCAGAAGCTGCCAACCGAGTGCATTCATTTGCGGCCCTTAAGCGTATCTCCTGTACAAGGTGACGACAAAGATGACCCGTAAACGCACACAGTTCTTTAAATTTATCGACAATTTCTTCTGGAGAAGGATACATTGCCATGACCTGTAGGATGAGGTGAAAAAATAATTGAAAAAATTCACATCAATTCTATGCAGATTTCTGAATTTCTTGACACCATACTTTATAGTATTGGTGCGGACTTACAATTATTTGCAGTTAGACAATAATTGCGCAACCATTAAACACCATGAACTTTTCCGAATATTAAACCAACATTTTTATAACTTGTTCGTTTCAAGCTGATATTTAAATAAACAAACAAGGTTTAAATTTCTTTCGACTTCAAATTTCCATTACCCTTCCAAAGAGTGGAAGTAGGCGGTCAAACTTTCGATCTCCATCTTTCGAACCATTTAATGGCATCCTACAGTATTCGCTAAACGTCTTACGCAAATGCAGCAAAGTCAGCGAACGATCAACGTCTTCCATGTCAGCGTTTTCTTTCATCCTTCAAAGACAATATTATGTTTTTATTTTTATCCCTATTTTAAGTTTACTTTTCATCGAAATCGAATTTCTATAGGAACAGGTACTTTCTGGAAAGGAAACATACTAGTTTAGTGAATCCAATTAGAAGTGGACTGTTGTTGCATATTCTTCGAGTGACAGTGAATCACTTCCTCTCTTGAATTCAACAAGAAAATGAGCAGTGAATGAACGGCCAAAAGTAAGTTACATGGGAAGATGCGTCTTATTTGTCAGTTTAATAAAATTTTGCTTAACAACCAAGAAGCACTTTCCCTAAAACTTATTATAAAAATAATAAGACTGATGCGCAAGATAATCTCAGAAAGCCTGCGCCTAATCATTGGGAAACAAAACGCGGCCCCCTATGAGATTTGCACGTTCTTTCGGAGATATCCTAGTGTGTCCAGCAAAAAAAAGTACAAAGAAGAGATAGATATAGGCAGCGAAATAAAATTGAGTGAATTATCAATAATTATCGTCGAGAGGAGTCCAAGAATATCTCTTTGATTAGACGTTTGTGAAATGTCATCTCATCTCAAACACTAAATGCATCATCCAGAAAGAACTTACTAGTAACAAGGAAACCTGCCGAAAATTCCATCCACTTCATTCAAACATGTTAGCAATGTTAGCAATAGGATGCTCTCCAGAAGCATATAATGAAGAGCATCTTAAAAGCTGTTTCCCAACGTATTATTTGTTTTTAATAATACTTACAAGTGAGGAAATAAAAAAGTGAAGAAGACTACAAAAAATCAAAAATTCACATAGCAATAAATAGGCAAGTAAAGGATGTATTTAGCATTTACGCCAAAGGTCATAACCTTTGCATAGCAATTGCGTTGACATATTTCATATGCCTTATTTCTAGGAGAACTTTCTGCTGCACATTTTTTGCAGTGTAGTCTTTTTTTGAGACTCTTGGATGGCCAATGTCGCAGTGACTCTAAAATTCAAACCAAAGTCTATTTATTAAATTTCAGAACAACATTTATCATATCACATACAAATTATTACCTGGCTGAATGACGAGAAATGGTTGATCGCAACGAAAGATTGAGGACAGAGAGAAAAAAAAAACATATGTTTTAGTGATTGCACTTGCATGTGTCATATCTATTGGGTTGATAAGAAAATGACGCTGAGGTAGCATCGTACCTTTAGTCGACCTTGCTCAGCTCAGCTGTTGCGTAAATTAAACGCAGTAGTTAGATCATCGTGAGTTTTTCAGAGTTCGATTACTTTCAACCACCTTATTAACACCAACTGTAAACAAATACTTGTGGATAGCTTAGTTTGCTTAATTGTGTGCTGAATTATATTGTCCTTTGTCAACTTCAAGGCCACTCGTTGGGCCTACTCCTTGACTTCGACTGTTTTCTTCTTTTCATTTGAACTATTTACTGACTGTTAATGATCATTTTATTTTGACCATACCTTTCTCTCTTATGTAGTAAGAGAACCCACTTCATTCATCATTCCATTAACATTCAAGGGAAACACAATTCCACACATCTTCACTTTCAATTAGTTTTAAATCAGTATTTTGCTTAAAAATGTATGGCTATTCTTTCCAGTACATCATGAACTCTTAGACTTCTCTTTTTTTAAAGAACACTTCTTGCTTTTGAGTTTGTTCATGCTGTTGTGTAATTTTATTATTTGCATTTAATTTTCAGTTCCAAACTTCTGATTCATCATCGTTTCATATTCAGACTGTCATGTTTAGAGCTCTGTCTGCTGAGAGTGTCATCAGCAGTGACAGACGACCTCCTAGTGAGACGGATGATCGTAAAGATTTGTTTAAATACTTAATATTTCCTGACACGTATTTCATTTCATTTAATCTTAAATATTAGAATTATGATATTATATCAATTAACAGGCGCATATCATTTTCTTCTATTCAGAGTTTGGATTTGTGAAAACTTTTTTCCAACAGGATTCAGTGAAAGAACTACCGAAAACCAAATCACTTCAAAGGTCGTAGATAAGATTTAAAAATGTTCGGGCTCTATGATATGGAAATTTTTTTGCCAAAAATAGGTCATGGTCAGCAAACTTAAAGTAAATTCTACCTATCAAAAAGCTGAGTATCATTTCCAATACACCAATTCTGATCTTTCGGAAACCTTAATGAATGATACTGTAAATAGTAGCTACTTCTGGAAAATCTTTCGCTGAACGAATTTAGTTCCACTGATATATAAAAAAAATTACTATAGACGGTAATATAGTGTACACTAAGTTTCAAACGAAGCACTGAATATATGCAAGAAAGAACAAACTTTACAAGTCACCCAAGTTCGGTTAGATTTTTATGGATCCAAATTTTAAGGAAAGCACTTCCAATTTTTGTTTCTATAAAATTCACACAAAAAAAAAACCAATTTTAAGCATCATTAGCTATCTGGATCCTTCAATGCGATGTGTGGTACATAGTGTTCATGATGTCAGCTGTTAAAGCATTTCTTCAATTCACAGGATAATAAGTCGCTCATGGGGGAAGTGATCAACTCCAGTTATTTGACAGCAAAAATATTTCCAAGAGGCTTTCATGAATCCATTCCGCTGTGCACAAATACACCAAATCGGTTTCGACTCTTTCCACGCCAGATTTAGTACAGCTATTCTTGTCAAGAAAACGCTCAGCTAGAATTGAAGTTGTGAAAAGCTTACGGAGAAACTTTACTATAAAGCAGAGCTTGACTACCTTCATTAATATCGATAAGCGTAAAAACAAAGCATACTCTGTTGAAGCAAAATATAATTAAAATGCAGCGATTTGGTACTACCACTACCGGTTGGACGTTTAGATATAGCAATGAAAAGATTACATATAGGGACAAGCTATTTGACTCAATAGTTGCATCAGAATTATTTCGCTCAGTGATGAATTCGCATGTAACATTTTAAAGTAAAAAAATATTGTTACCTTATTTGAAACTGGATATACACAGCGCAAAACATATTTCTGGGTAGTATACAATAACTGACTTGAAACCATAAAGTTCTTAATACATGTACGGTAATACTAATTCAAAAATGATATTATGCACCGCTGCAAACAAATTTATGTAAAACAGGAAAGCATAAAAAAGTAGAGAACTGAAACCAAATAAAGAAGTTTAAAACTTCACACTTGGAGAAAACAAGCATTAAAGAATTAAATAAATTTAATAGGGTTTATCAGTCCTGAAAAGGCAAACAACAGTTCTGAAATAAAAGCCTACCTACATCAGTGGTGACACTTGACACGTGCGCGGACTTCTGCTTTAATGAATTCCCGGACACTAACGTTTGGAACTACTCTATCTATTTCAATTAAAATTTCATGCAAAGGACGGCCGCTATAATAGCGCATTAGTTCGGTAACATATTCAACCCAAACACAATTCGCGCATCCAAATCCGCAACATGTTGCGGGATCCGGAGGTTCAGGAGGACACGACTGATGGACTATCCTGTCAGAAGTAGTAGTTTTAACTCGAGAGGATGTTGCCATCCGTCCAGACCCAAGCAGTTCATCTTCCGAATCCAACCCTCTGTTATAATCCAATTTTTTATCTACCCGCCAACGCATACACAAAAAATACGGTGATAGGGGGTTTTTTTTACTAGCGACGGTAAAGACTCGTCGCATTCGAATCTGAAACATCGAACTGCAGTCATGGTCAACCATACTCTTCCATCGTCGAAAAATTATAAGACATATATAAGCTGTTAGCCGCCATACGTCAGTATCTTAGATTCCGACAATTTTTTCCTGGTTCAAACACCCACTTTTTTTTCCCAGTAAACTTGAACGAATATTGGTCACTGAGGGAATACCCATCACAAAGTATTTCTCAATATATGACCTTTTATTTTTTCTTCGTTATCATATGTATGTGTATAAGTGTATATGAATAAAAAATGGCAAGACGAAAAATAATTAAAACAAATCAGAAATTTGCATTTCAACAAACATGCAATGGATATGTTTTGCATTAAAACAAATAAGTACTGCAAAATGCACAATGGAATTTTCAATGTATAAATTGCTGAAAGTCCTCAAGTCACATACATAAATGTTTAACATCACGAAATCCTACAGTTACAACTTTTAAATACATCTATATAACCGCTTCATTAACATGCCTTTAAACGAAAACATTATATAAAAAAACATTAAAGAGAAATTATGTAGTTAGTAAAGCTGATCAATGATAACCAAAAATAAGCATTTCTTGTAGCTCATAAAACCAAAATCACTACTGTATATTTCCTGGTGACTGCTCTGGTTGGACGGTAATCATATCATGAGGGAGAGAACGGACCAAGTCTGGCTCCATACTTCGCAGCTTCTCGTGAAATATCTAGGACAAAAATCCAATGAAATAAACTGAAAACCATCAAATAAAAAAGCTCGGAATGATCAAGACTTTCCGACCTCTGAAATATATTACCATTCTAGCTATATGAAACTGAATAGAAGCGCTATCAATGAACTGGAAATTAAAATAAAATTGTCCACAAATTAAGCAGCTGTGTAAAGATGTTCTTCTGTATTACAAACTAAGCGGAAAAGCAAACCGTCAGAAGTTATAAACTAGAGTTCTCTTTGTGGATACTCGTGTGAGGTGTGTTTGGGAAACGATTAGATGAAACAGAAGCATTTTCCTTTGAAAGAGAGAATGATACCGTTTTTCCGCTAGGACTTTCGTTATCAATTGATGACAATTTATTTCCAAACATTACTCCATCGAAACGATTATCAAAAATGAGAGCATCCAAAGAAGATGATGATGGTGATCTGAAATTAGGATAAACTTTGAATCTGTGAATCCATTACTGAAGATTGAAAAAAAAGCTTCATAACTTTTCATAGCAAAAAGTCTGCCATCTGAATAAAGAATCCTCAAAAAAACCAACAACTTATCACTGGTAAAAGCCTGCTGTTGTACTCGGCTATGGTGCAGTTGCTCACGTAGCGAACTCACGCCACATCCTCGACGAGACCAAACCTGTTCTTGCTTTCGTTTCTGCGAAAGATTTGCACTGTTTATTATAATTATTGAAAAACATTCTGTACTCGTTTAAAAAATTTCACCCTGCCCATTTATTGCAGGACTTAACATTCCAACTTCACGAATTTAAGACAAACGACAGGTTCATAGTTAATCCTTGAAACTTTGCTCATAAAAAAGGTTAGCTCCATGAATTACAGACAATCATTTGAGAACGCAATTGGACAAAAAAATTTCCACACTAATCTTACAAGTTAAATAAGGTATCTGGAAATTAAAATCTTGAAGTTTCCTACTGAGAGCTTGAAATATATTTGGACGTACCTGGCTTGAAGGAATTTCACTGTTATTCACCGATGACTGGCCACCTGTCGCAGCACTCGTATTACTACCACTTTCAAAATGCCTCACAACATTATTAGATCCTGACATTAACTTTGTTGATAACCTAAAATATAACATGTTAGAACTAAAAAACCTGGAATTCGGAAATAAAAATATTAAAACACTGTCCAGCATTTGTTCTTTCATTGTGGGAATTTAAAATGAAGTTTCACAGCAAAAATGCACAGAAATACATTATAAAGTAATATCGTACGCAAAATCATCAGAGAGGTCTGGAACCACAGGATTCTGGTCATCTGAAGTAACGGTACTGAGTGGAAGATTGTATAACCTATATCCAGCGACATTCGAAGACGCTGAAAGCACTTCCTTAGCAGCATTTGCAACATTCCAGGATGGAGCCACCCCAGATGCTTTAAGTTCGATTAACGATTTCTCGTTTGAATAATCGAAAACCGGTGTCGTTATTGTTTCTTCATCACCACTGATGGCACTTTCTCTAAAAAAATAAAAGTTCACAAGAGAAATGCAATATTAATTTACATGCACTGAACAAAATAGAACATTTGACCTTTATTTAAATCGAAAACTAAAATTTCAATCAAAATGTGGCGTCTGAATGAATAGCAAAGTAATTACTTACTGCTCATCAATGAAGAGTGCTTGCTCGGATTCAATCAGATACTTCTCATACCGCGGACCAGGTAACACTGTAGGAAAAATTTGCTCATGATAAACAATCAAATTTTTCACAAGCTCGTTTACAAAATTATGGTAAAAGACCTGAAATATTGCCATCTTTTCAGAAGAAATATTCCAGAAAAAAGTTCATACTCAAAAATTTTAAATTTTTTTTAGGTAATAACAAATATCGTACAGATCACTCATACTATTTACTGCTATGCTAGCACAAGCAGAATTCAAATGCACGCAGAGATCAGGCACGCCAGGTCAACCTGTCGTCGGATATCAGCATTTTCGTCAAATAAAATACTGTCTCCTTTGGGAGAAGAGTCGGACGATATCATTTGACGATAAACGACGAATTCAGTTACCGGTACGAAAGGAAAGGAAAGCGAATTCTGTTCTTGGTTCCCGTCTGGATAGAAGTCAACCTGTCGCAGAAACCGGTCAGAAAGGCAGGATGAAAATATGGCTTTTTTTCTTTCGATGCTAGTAAATTTAAATCCAATCGCCAAATGAGCTGTCATTGGATACCAATGAAATATTATGTAGGGAGAGGTAAAAAGGTTGGAGCTCCCGCACGCCTTTTTTTGTATTACTTCCACTGTGCCTTATAGTTGTACCGACTTTTTTCAACTACATGCTACTACACGTTACGGTCAGAAATAGAGATCAGATTTTGAAAGGATATTTAATAATATGTGACGAAAACGCAATTTTTGGACCTGATCTTTTCCCTCTGGAATAGGAAGAAGTGTAGGTCCGAAGCAGATTGCAAGATTGTATGGATCCATCATATTTTCATCGCTAAATTCACTGAGATGATTGAGGAATGCAAAAAGATATCGTAATACAAGCTGAGTGGGTCGTGATAATTTCTGAATAAGTGGAGCAACCTGAAGTGAACAAAAATTTTGCTGAAAAATAATATCATTTGGAACAATATCGTCTTAAAAAATAAAAAATTGAATTCAAAAGTCCAAAGAATAAGATATAAACCAAGCTTTGAATAAAAGCAAAACATTTAAACTTTTCTGAACGCATTTATAAAGTGAAGAAGAAAACCTGTTTGACGAATTCGTCAGCATTTGAACATTTCGCACATTCTGTCAACTGATCAAAAAGAAATAAAGGGAAAAGAGATTCACGAAGTTCACGTAAATAAAGTTTCAAAACACCCGCAATTGAATTGACATCCGTAGCATCAACAACATGTCGTAGTGGATCTTCACCTACAACAGTAGCACTAACATACTTCTGCTTTTTACATAGCCAAAGGATATAAAAATCAGAAGAAGGAGAAAATTTTAATTCAGAATGTAAATAATAGTTAAAACATTTACTGAATATATGGTAATACCTTTTTCAAATGCTTCTCGAAATATATTAATTTCAATTTGTGAGCCTGATATACGGAATATTCCTTGATGATGCAGAGCAAATTGGGATAATACACTGTAAAAACTACCAAATTTTTTCATTGCAGAAGAGAAAAATATTTGAAAATATTCAGATGACGGGTGCACTGACAGATGGAAGAATAATCGGAACAATGTAGCCTGACAATAGAAGCTACTAACCGTATAGTAGAAGTGATAATGAGAGGTATTGTTTCGCCTGTGGCTTCAACATACTCATCTAAACTACCGCCAAAGAGCTTCGGTCGCCTGATACTGTCAGGTAGCAAACCACTGCCGATTCTTTTTTTCGCACGATTAGGAGCAGAAGGGAAAGTTTCGCTGTCATCTCCATTTTCTGAAAATATAATCCCTAATCTCAGCAGTATCAATAAGATCATCTAAAAGGGAAAATAAACAGTAAGAAAAATACTTTAAACTGACTGCGAATGCACTTTTTATTTAAAAATGGATACAAGAAAACACAGAAAGCATACGGTAAAAAGAGTTAGGGGAAGAAACAACAGCAGAACTGGTGCTACCATCAAAACTTTTTTTAGAATACCCATTCAGAGCTGAAGCAATTCCATTTGCCCGCGCTTCTAGTCGTTCAATTAAGTTACTATTCAGCATATAATGACTGAATTTCTGAAAAAATCTTACCGAAAAAAATTAGCCGAAGTTATATATAATAATGTCAAAAAAGAAATGAAAATTGAGACGTTAAGTTAAAGTCAAAAAAAAACAACCAGACTAACCCCAAGATAAAAATCATATAATTCGTTAGCACTTATTTTGTTCTTAAAATTGTAAATGTTTGCGTCATTACAATCCTCACGTGATACATCACTTGGAACTTCGGTGGCTGCAACCAAATTAGCCATCGCCTCCATAAAACGTTCAGCAACTGCTTTTTCTGTAGATTCCAAAGTTTTCCATATTTCTTCTGATTCAATCCTTAAAAATAAAAATCATGTCGCACAAAACCGACAAAAGCTAGAATATAGGACTAGAAATAGACGAAAACAAAACATTAGTGAAGAATCACAAACCACAATCATAATCAGAATGGAGACAAACTTCCAAATAACATCTCTTTGAATCCAAAACGGTAAGCATGGAGGGAACATCAATTCAGAAAAATAAATACCTCACATTAGCAAGTCTTCGTTCAATCTGCAAATGCCGTTGTTGTAGTTCTTCAGCAACGACATCGGCTGCACTTACCGTAGATACCGTATCGCCAAGCTGTCCTCTAAGAATCTTTACTTTGGGAATACATGAAAAAGGATAACTAATACAAGATGAAACAAATGGTTCGATTTGAAATCAACTCATGAAAATTTTGCGAAATAAATTCAAAATTTTTAAATTTCGTTTAGACAACATAGACTCTACTGAATTTAAAAATCCATAAGAATGCTGACCTAAATTCGAATCGTTTCGGCAACATAAAAGTCGCATGGTTTGCCTCAATAAATCGTTGCTTATCCGCCTTCGAATCAAGTGATTCTTTAAATCCACAAAGTTCTGCTAAAGCATCCATTTCTTTCTGACACATATCTTTCCGTGCCGTGACTGTACAATTAATAAAACCTTGTAACCACTGATCCATACCAAGATCCATGCACTGAATGAATTTTTTGGTATAGCATAATATACGAACCTCTTCAATTGAAACGAAATAAAACAATATAACTACTTTCAAGTAATTTTTAGATTATTAACAGTAAAGTAAAACATACATCGATGAGATCAGAAAGGTCGTCCGCAAAATACTTATGCAAAGCTGCATTGGCTGCCTGCACACATAACAGATATTCATTTCTAGCTTTCAAACATTTCAGTTTTACCGTATTATATTTTTCCAGCCTCTGAAAGCAAATTTCAGGAAATAAAGAAAGCAAACTGAATCTTTGTAACTTATTAAATTATCAGTGATAATTTGTTAAAGTTTACTTTTTTATAAAGCTTTGCCAAACATCGATGCTTACGAGCAACACCCAGCTTAGTCGGATTATTCTCCTCATACTTCGTCTTATTTTCTTCAACTTGGCGAAATTTGCTTTCTATAGCTGAACATTCAAGAAAGCAAAGCTGCAAAAAAGTAAATCTCTATTTCTGATGAGAAAACCTATACAAATAGTCACAATTGAAAACTGGAATATATATAATTTAAATATATAATATGCACAATTCTGTAGATCAATGTACCACTTTAGAAAGTGAGACAATATCTACAAATTAAGATAAAGCCGTCTAAAGTAATTAACACATACAGCTCAGAATCATTCAAATAACAACATACCTGATAGGTTCTCATAGCAGTATGCAATTCGTTTAGCACTCGGCATATTTCACCATGCGCGAGTGTCCCTATTTCGCGACACTGTAACACTGATTCTGATCGTAACACAACATTTAGGTTACTTTGAATCATATTTCTGAGATGATAAATTACAAGAAATATATAACTCATCGCCTTCATTAGCAAACAAGAAAAGATATCAATTGAGGCATTTTAAAATTGACAATATGTCAAGTACAAAAAAATCCTGAATCATATTTTTGGAAGACCACCATGGTAATTAAAAACCTTCATATAAAACATAAAAGAGATCTTTCTTCCTCAGTACTAGTGTCAAAAAGTGCAACAGAAATGAATTAAAATGATTTGATTCGAAGTAAATAAATGATATAACGGTAAATTGCTCGTTAACCGTGTGCTACAGAGCTACGGCATGTTTAACGGCGTGATGGAAATTATGGTAGAGCAATGTGAGGAAGAAGAATAAAAGGACTTAGTATATCTTCCAGAGAAAATTCAGTTTCAAGACTAGAAAAGCTAATGTAAAACAAAATATGAGCAAAATAATTTGTTTGGAGTGTTCAGAACATATTGGTGAAACGAAAAGATGCCTGTAGCGAAGGATCAAGGAACATATCGAGAACGTATACTTGACTGAAAGAAGAAATGAATCCCGTCAAATTATCAATGTAATCGATATGAGATGATTAAAATGAAAGCATCGCCTCTATGCTATTAAACTCCGCGAAAAAGAGAGCCCGAACAAAGTACACACTAAAATAAACAACCGTAGAAAAATAGTGGATTCAATGAAACTCATCCTATCCGTCAAACCGATTTATTTCCGGTGTGTTTGGCTCAGCAATTTGATGGATCGGATGAATGTATTGCTCTATCACCTCAATTTCTATTCAGTGCATTCCTTTGCTGGTATGTGTCAAATGTATTCCGTGCATTCACGCTTGTTCATCTTTTATTCACTCCCAAAAAGGGATTCACGCTAATATGTAATCTTTCACCACAAATTATAAAAGCTGACATCTAACATCAAAACCTTTTGAAAATAGGCGTTTGATTACATATTTGGTAGTCCTGCACGTTTTTTGTACATTCACGTAAATAATGTTCAAACAGGAAAAATTCTTACTTTTCGTGAAATACGCTGTAAATCATCTGCTCTCTGCGCAATAAGTACTGTAAGGCGGGCAGCGTATAAATCAGCTAAAGCGATCTTCTGCTTAGCTTCCTCCTTCGTCTGATCCACCAGTTGCTGCCATAACCCGCAGGTTGAATGTAAAGACCAAGAATCACGTCTGAAAACTCTGTGGAAGTGAAAAAACAAGTCTCAGTAATGTCAATCAAATTTGGATTCGCGCAACACACACAGAGCAGATTAGAATATGTAGTCCAGGAGTAATGGCAATCATATAAACTTATAGATTACAAAAGCATATAACGTGACGTCATGACAATAGTCACAAGGCTACTTTTTCTTCATGTTTAAAAAGAAAAATTTTTGTTCGTTTTAATTTTTCGACTACAAAAAGTATCGTTGCATTATTTCACATTAAAATTCCATTTTGAACTAGCAACTTTAATGCCAATCATATAAACTTATAGATTAAAAAAGCATATAACGTGACGTCATGACAATAGTCACAAGGCTACTTTTTCTTCATGTTTAAAAAGAAAAATTTTTGTTCGTTTTAATTTTTCGACTACAAAAAGTATCGTTGCATTATTTCACATTAAAATTCCATTTTGAACTAGCAACTT